TGTCCCCCATTGCCCCCATTGCCCCCCCATTGCCCCCATTGCCCCCCATTGCCCCCCATTGTCCCCATTGCCCCCATTGTCCCCATTGCCCCCATTGCCCCCATTGCCCCCATTGCCCCCCATTGTCCCCATTGCCCCCCATTGTCCCCATTGCCCCCATTGCCCCCCATTGTCCCCATTGCCCCCCATTGCCCCCATTGCCCCCATTGCCCCCCATTGTCCCCATTGCCCCCCATTGTCCCCATTGCCCCATTGCCCCCCCATTGTCCCCATTGCCCCCATTGCCCCCATTGCCCCCCATTGCCCCCACTGCCCCCCGTGTCCCCATTGCCCCCATTGCCCCCATTGTCCCCATTGCCCCCATTGCCCCCCATTGCCCCCATTGTCCCCATTGCCCCCATTGCCCCCATTGCCCCCATTGTCCCCCATTGTCCCCATTGCCCCCATTGCCCCCCATTGCCCCCCGTGTCCCCATTGCCCCCCGTGTCCCCATTGCCCCCCGTGTCCCCATTGCCCCCATTGCCCCCCAGCCCCGTCTCTCCCCCCGTCCCCATGGGTGTCCCTGTCCCCTTGTCCCTGTGACCCAGGTGGGGCCATGCTGGGGCCGGGGGCACCCTCAGGGCAGCAGCGCTGGGGCACAAAAGGGACATGGACCCAACGGTCACCCCCACACCCACACCCTATACCCCCCACCCCCCACCCCATACCCCACCCCCACACCCCACACCCCACACCCTATATCCCACATCCCACACCCCACACCCCATACCCCATATCCCTCACCCCATATCCCACACCCCACACCCCACACCCCCCCTCCCCCCGCTCCCCTCCCCCCCCACTTCCCTCTGTCCCCATTCATGTCCCGGGGGTGGCTCCGGTGCCAGCGGGAAGGGCCCCCCCCCCCCCCCCCCCCATCGCACCCAGCCGGGGGGGCGGGGTCCCCCCACAGCCAACGGGGGAGCCCAAGGGGACCCCCCCCCCACTGCCCCCCCTTAAACCCCCCTGTGCCCCCCCACTGCCCCCCTTAACCCCCCAGGTGCCCCCCCAGCGCCTCCGGACTCCTCCTCCGCGGCCTCCAGCCGCCAGGGGGCGCTGACGCCGCCGACGCCACCGCCCAGGGTCAAGATGGCGGCGCCCGCGGTTGTCCGGGCCTTGAGGGTAGGGACGGGAACGGGAACGGGAACGGGGCTCCAGAGACATGGGGGGCACGGGGTACTCGCTATGGGGGCACGGGATATGGGGGGCACCCGCTATGGGGGACAGTGGGGATGGGGGGCAGCCGCTATGGGGACATGGGGAGCACTCGCTATGGGGCACACGGGATATGGGGGCACCCGCTATGGCGGACAGTGGGGATGGGGGGGCAGCCGCTATGGGGGGCACGGGATGTGGGGGATATGGGGGGCACCCGCTATGGGGGACAGTGGGGATTGGGGGGCAGCCCCTATGGGGGATGCGGGACATGGGGGTCACCCGCTATGGGGGACAGTGGGGATAGGGGAGCACTCACTATGGGGGACACAGGATATGGGGGGCACTCGCTATGGGGGACATGGGGGGCACTCGCTATGGGGGACATAGGGAGCACTCGCTATGGGGGGACACGGGATATGGGGGGCACCAGGTACGGGAGGAACCAGGGGCAATGGGTAATGGGGGCCATGGGATGGGGAGGGCATTGTGGGCAGTGGGGTGCAGGCATGGGAGCTATGGGGGGCACCGGGGACGCAGAGGGGACCCAGGGATGGGGGCAATGGGGGGCAATGGGGACAATGGGGGCAATGGGGGGCAATGGGGACCCCTCACCCATTGTCACCCCACAGGCTCTGCCCCACATCCGCCCTGTCCCCGATGGCACCCGGCACCTGCACAGCACCCCCCCTGCCTCAAGGTAAAGCGGGTCCCCCCTGCCCCCCAGCTCTCTGTGCCCCCCTCCCCCAGCTCTCTATGGGGCACCCCATAGCGCTGCCCTCCCCCAGGCTCGTGCCGGGCGGGTGCGCGTGGGGGAAGGGGGACAAGGCAGTGACGTACGAGCAGGCCCATGGGCCCCACCACATCGGGCACCGCAAGGGGTGGCTCTCGCTGCACACCGGTGGGTCCCACACCGCGACGTGTGGGGCGCGGGGGGGTCACAGGCCTTGGGGTGCTGTGGGGACGGGTGGGGCGCGTGGGGACGGGACACTCGGGCACGGTGGGGATGGAGACGTGTGGGGCAGGAGGGTGCTGTGGAGATGGGCATGGGGCACCGTTGGGATGTGTGGGGCAGTGGGAATGGTGGGGAATGGGACGTGTGGGGCACGTGGGTACTTTGGGGACTCAGGTGTGGGGCTCAGGGGCATGGTGGGGACACGTGGGGCACGGAGGAATGTGGGGCCAGGACCCATGGGCATTGTGGGGATGGGGACGTGTGGGGCTCCTTGGTGTCCTGGGGATATGTGGGGGCAATGGGCACAATGGGGAATGGGATGTGTGGGGCACGAGGGTGCTGTGGCTATGGGTCATGGGGCACCATGGGGATGTGTGGGGCACGGTGGGGGATGGGACGTGTGGGGCACAAGGGTGCTGTGGAGATGGGTTATGGGGCGCCATGGGGATGTGTGGGGCATGGAGGGGAATGGGGTGTGTGGGTCATGAGGGTGCTGTGGGGCAGGGCTATGGGGCGCCATGGGGACGTGTGGGTCCACAAGGGTGCTGTGGAGATGGGCTATAGGGATGTGTGGGGCACAGTGGGGAATGGGGCATGTGGGTCATGAGGGTGCTGTGGGGCAGGGCCATGGGGACGTGTGGGTCACGAGGGTGCTGTCGGGATGGGCTATGGGGTGCCATGGGGATGTGTGGGGCATGGAGGGGAATGGGGTGTGTGGGGCATGAGGGTGCTGTGGGGGAGGGCTGTGGGGCGCCATGGGAATGTGTGGGTCACAAGGGTGCTGTGGGGATGGGTTATGGGGTGCCATGGGGACGTGTTGGTCATGAGGGTGCTGTGGAGGTGGGCTATGGGGATGTGTGGGTCACGAGGGTGCTGTGGGGCAGGGCCATGGGGCGCCATGGGGACGTGTGGGTCACGAGGGTGCTGTGGAGATGGGTTATGGGGATGTGTGGGGCACGGTGGGGAATGGGATGTGTGGGGCATGAGGGTGCTGTGGCCATGGGGCGCCATGGGGACGTGGGGGCACGGTGGGGAATGGGGCGTGTGGGTCGTGAGGGTGCTGTGGGGCAGGGCCATGGGGACGTGTGGGTCAGGAGGGTGCTGTGGGGCTGGGCTATGGGGTGCCATGGGGACGTGTTGGTCACGAGGGTGCTGTGGAGGTGGGCTATGGGATGTGTGGGTCAGGAGGGTGCTGTGGGGCTGGGCTGTGGGGCGCCATGGGGACGTGTGGGTCAGGAGGGTGCTGTGGGGCTGGGCTATGGGGCGCCATGGGGATGTGTGGGTCACTGTGGGGAATGGGGCGTGCGGGTCAGGGGTGCTGTGGGGCTGGGCTGTGGGGATGTGTGGGTCACGGTGGGAAATGGGATGTGTGGGTCAGGAGGGCGCCATGGGGACGTGTGGGTCACGGTGGGGAATGGGATGTGTGGGTCAGGAGGGTGCCGTGGGGATGTGTGGGGCACGAGGGTGCTGTGGGGCTGGGCTATGGGGCGCCATGGGGACGTGGGGCACGGTGGGGAATGGGGCGTGTGGGTCAGGAGGGTGCCGTGGGGCTGGGCTGTGGGGCGCCATGGGGACGTGTGGGTCACGGTGGGGAATGGGGCGCGCGGCTGACGGGGGGCGGCGCAGGGAACCTGTGCTCGGAGGGGGGCGCCGCCGAGCGCGCTCTCGAGGACGCCTTCGCGCGCCGCTTCCTGCGCGGGACCTTCCCGGGCGCGCTCCTGGCCCCGCCCCTGCTGCGCCGGCGCGGGCGCGCGCTCGTGGTGAGCGCGGTGGTGGCGCGCGCGCTCCCGGCGCCGCAGCTCCTGTTCCTGCAGGGCTGGGCCGAGGCGCTGCTGAGCGCCCTCTACCGGAGCCCCGTGCGCATCGAGCTCCTGGCCCTGCCCGCGCCGCCCGTCTACAAACACATCTGAGCCCCCCCCCCGCCCCACAGAGCCCCCACCCTGCACCACAGAGCCCCCCCCGCCCCACAGAGCCACCTCACCCTGCCCCACAGAGCCACCCGTCTACAAACACATCTGAGCCCCGCCCCCTGCCCCACAGAGCCCCCCCCCCGCCCCACAGAGCCCCCCCCTGCCCCACAGAGCCACCTCACCCTGCCCCACAGAGCCACCCATCTACAAACACATCTGAGCCCCCCCCCTGCCCCCACAGAGCCCCCACCCCTGCCCCACAGAGCCCTTACCCTGCCCCACAGAGCTCCCCACCCTGCCCCACAGAGCCCTCACCCCTGCCCCACAGAGCCACCTCACCCTGCCCCACACAGCCCTCCACCTGCTCCACAGAGCCCCCTCACCCCTGCCCCACAGAGCCCTCACCCTGCCCCACAGAGCCCCCACCCTGCCCCACAGAGCTCCCACCCTGCCCCACACAGCCCTCCACCTGCCCCACAGAGCCCCCCCCCCACGCCCCACAGAGCTCCCACCCTGCCCCCACAGAGCCACCCCTGCCCCACAGAGCTCTCACCCTGCCCACAGAGCACTGCCCCCTGCCCTACAGAGCCCCCTGCCCCACACATCCCTGTCCATCAGGGCTCTGCACACCCTCGGCCCCACAAGTGGCCCTGTGTGCCCCACATGTGCTTAACTTAAAGCCCGTGTCCCCCCACATGGCCTCGTGTCTCCCCCAGTGTCCTTGTGCCCCACAAGTGCCTGTGAGCCCCATGTGGCTCCTTAACCCTACAGAGCCCCCCTGCCCCACACATCCCTGTCCATCAGGGCCCTGCACACCCTCGGCCCCACAAGTGGCCCCATGTACCCACATGTTCTTAACTAAAAGCCTGTGTCTCCCACATGGCCTCGTGTCTCCCTCAGTGTCGTTGTGCCCCGTAAGTGCCTGTGGGCCCATGTGGCTCCTTAACCCCACAGAGCCCCTGTGCCCCACATGGCCTCGTGTCTCCTTCAGTGTCCTTGTGTCCCATAAGTGCTTGTGGGCCCCATGTGGTCCTTGACCCCACAGAGTCATGTGCCCCACACATCCCCATCCGTCAGTGCCCATGGGCCTCAATGGCGCTGTCCCCCCAGTGTCCATCTACCCCACACGAGCCTCATGGTGCCCCACAGCGCTGCCCCTGCAGTGTCCACGCGCCCCACACATCCCCTGGTGACGCTTGGGAACCCGTCCCAGTGACCACCCAGTGCTGAGCTCAGAAACCAGTTTAAATAGAGCTTGGGGAAGGGGGGCGAGGGCTCAGCCCTGCCTGGGGACGGGGACCTTGTCCTGCTCCTGCTCCTGCTCCTGCTCCCTGCTCTTCTCCCCAGAGCCGGGGCTGCCGGGCGTCAGCCCCACAGCCGGCACCACCGCGTCCCCCGTTGTGACCCCGGCGGGGTCCCCTGCGGGCTGGGTCCTGTGGGGAAAACGGGGGGACAATGAGGGGCAGCGGGTGTCAATGGGAGTCAATGGGTGTCAATGGGAGTCAGTGGGAGTCAATGGGCATCAATGGGTGTCAATGGGAGTCAGTGGGAGTCAATGGGCATCAATGGGTGTCAATGGGAGTCAATGGGTGTCAGTGGGAGTCAATGGGTGTCAATGGGCGTCAGTGGGTGTCAATGGGGGTCAATGGGCATCAATGGGCGTCAGTGGGAGTCAATGGGCATCAATGGGCGTCAATGGGTGTCAGTGGGAGTCAGTGGGAGTCAATGGGTGTCAGTGGGAGTCAGTGGGAGTCAATGGGAGTCAATGGGCATCAATGGGCGTCAATGGGTGTCAGTGGGAGTCAGTGGGAGTCAATGGGCGTCAATGGGCATCAATGGGCGTCAATGGGAGTCAATGGGAGTCACTGGGTGTCAATGGGAGTCATTGGGCATCAGTGGGAGTCAATGGGCGTCAATGGGCATAAATGGGTGTCAATGGGAGTCAATGGGTGTCAATGGGAGTCAATGGGCGTCAATGGGCATCAATGGGCATCAGTGGGAGTCAATGGGAGTCAATGGGCGTCAATGGGCATCAATGGGCATCAGTGGAGTCAATGGGAGTCATTGGGTGTCAATGGGAGTCATTGGGCATCAGTGGGTTTCAATGGGTGTCAGTGGGAGTCAATGGGCGTCATTGGACGTCATTGGGTGACAGTGGGAGTCAATGGGCATCAATGGCCGTCAAGGGGTTTCAGTGGGTGTCAGTGGGAGTCAATGGGAGTCAACAGGAGTCAATGGGAGTCAAGGGGAGTCACTGGGAGTCACTGGGTGCTGTGGTACCCATGTAGCTGAGCAGCACGGGCAGGAAGAGCAGCCCGTGCGCCAGCCCCAGCAGCGTGATGATGAGGTTGAGGCGGAAGAAGAAGACCTGGATGAGCTGGGCCTTGGCGAAGGCCAGCACCACGATGCCGGGCAGGTTGGTCAGGGCCACCCCGGCCACAACCTGCGGGGAACAGCGGGGTCACCAGGGCCCCTTGGGGTCCCCTGGGGTCCCGTGGGGGTCCCCGCGCGCCCCGGTCCCACCTTGCTGCCCATGGTGACGGTGGCATCGGCGGCGCGAGCCACGCGCCCGGCCTGGGGGCTGTGGGCGAAGGCGTAGGTGAGGTGGGACACGAACTCCACTGAGATACCCACGGCCTGCGGGGACACCAGAGACACCCATGGCACCCGTGGCCACCCAATGGCACCCATGGACACCCAATGGCACCCAGAGGCACCCAATGGCAACCACTGAGACATCCCAGAGACACCCATGGCACCCACAGACATCAATAGCACCCACTGTGACATCCCAGAGACACCCAATGGCACCCACTGTGACACCCCACAGACACCCAATGGTACCCACTGAGACACCCCAGAGACACCCATGGCACACACAGACACCCAATGGCACCTACTGTGACACACAACAGACACTCAATAGCACCCATGGACACCCAATGGCACCCCCAGACACCCAACAGCACCCACAGACACCCATGGCACCCACAGACACCCATGGCACCTACAGACACCCAATGGCACCCACAGACACCCAATGACACCCCAGACACCCATGGCACGGCCAGACACCAATGGCACCCACACACACCCATGGCACCCCCAGACACCCAATGGCACCCCCAGACACCCAATGGCATCCACAGACACCCACAGACATCTATGGCACCCACAGACACCCAATGGCACCCCCAGACACCCATGGCACCCCCAGACACCCAATGGAACCCACAGACACCCCCAGACACCCATGGCACCCCCAGACACCCATGGCACCCAGAGACACCAAATGGCACCCCCAGACACCCAATGGCACCCCCAGACCCCCACAGCACCAACAGACCCCCATGGCACCCCCAGACACCCAATGGCACCCATTGCCCCCCCGCACCGCCACCAGGTTGATGAGGGCCACGGCGTTGTAGGGGATGTCCCAGAGGGCCATGGCGCCGGCCGTGTCCACCAGGCTCATGGCGATGGTGAGGAGCGTGGCGGCGCTGGAGCGCAGGTCCGTGCCCAGCAGCACGAAGGACACGAGGAAGGTGGGCACCAGGCACAGCCCCAGCGTCACCAGGCCCTCGGCCACCACCGTCAGGTACTGCTCGTAGTACACGTGGGTCACCCTGCGGGACGGCTCCGGCTGCAGCCCCGGCCCCGGCCCCGGCAGGGCCCCCTTCCATGGGGCAGGGCGCCGCGACCCGGCCTTGAGCACTGCCAGGGATGGGGCAGCCACAGCTTCTCTGGGCACCCTGTGCCAGCGCCTCAGCACCCTCACAGGGAAGAGCTTCTGCCTAAGAGCTCAGCTCAGTCTCCCCTCGGGCAGGTTCAAGCCATCCCCTTGCCCTGCCCCTACAGCCCTTGCATCCCAAAGCCCCTCTCCAGCACCCTCGCGGGCACAGGGAGGAGCCCCGCGTGTCCCTGTCCCCATGTCCCATAGCCCCATGTCCTCATGTCCCAGTATCCGCATGTCCCCATATCCCCATATCCTATATTGCTATATCCCAATGTCCCCGTATCCCCATATTGCTTTGTCCCCACGGCCCCATATTCCCATATCCCCATATGCCATGTCCCATGTCCCCATATCACCCTATCCCCATGTCCATATTCCTGTACCCCATGTCCCTATATCTCCATATCCCCATGTCTAATATCCCATGTCCCCTATCCCCATACATTCATATCTGCCCCATGTCCCCATATGCCCATATCCCAATGTACCCATATCCCATGTCCCATATCCCCATGTCCCATATCCCCATATCCCATAGCCCCCATGTCCCATATCCCCATATCCCCATGTCCCCATATCCGCATATCCCAATGTACCCATATCCCATGTCCCATATCCCATAACCCCATATCCCAATGTACCCATATCCCATGTCCCATATCCCATAACCCCATGTCCCATATCCCAATGTACCCATATCCCATGTCCCATATCCTATAACCCCATATCCCAATGTACCCATATCCCATGTCCCATATCCCATAACCCCATGTCCCATATCCCAATGTACCCATATCCCATATCCCATAGCCCCATGTCCCCATATCCCCATATCCCAATGCACCCATATCCCATGTCCCCATATCCCCACATCCCCATGTCCCCATATCATATCCCCATATCCCCACATCCCCACATCCCCATGTCCCCATATCCCCATATCCCACATCGCCATATCCCACTTCCCCATGTCCCCACATCCCTTATCCATGTCCCCACACCCCCATGCCCCACATCCCTGTCCCCATATCCCCATATCCCACATCCCCATATCCCACATCCCCACTTCCCCATGTCCTCCCATCCCTTATCCATGTCCCCACACCCCCATGCCCCACATCCTTGTCCCCATGATGCTGAGGCCCCATCAACCGCGGCGCCCTCACCACCACCCCCGGGCCTGCCCCGCGCTGGGTGCTCACGCGTAGGGGAAGACGCGGAAGCCGGGCTGGGTGCCGGGCACGCGGCGCAGGGTGCGGGTGAGCTCCTCGGCCAGGGCGCGCGCCGCCCGCAGCGCTGCCGTGTACTCCTGCGCCGTGCGCAGCGGGCGCTGGTAGGCCATGAACCGCGTGGCTGTGGGGCAGGGGGGGGGTCAGCTCCGCACCCAGCGCCCCCCAGCCCGAGCCCCCCGCGCCCCGCGCTCACCCAGGATGGTGCCGTTGGCGTCCATGCTCACCGCGGTGTCGTAGGCACCCAGGCCGCTGCGGGGAGGGGATATGGGGTGAGTGGCGCTGGGGCACCCCATAGGGCCCCCCACACACACACACGCACTGTGTCCATACCCCTTGGCGCATTGCAGCGTGGGGCGGTCCTGCAGGAACCAGGGCAGGAAGCGCTGGAACTCCTCCGGGGTCGGGCGCCGCGTCGTGTTGAGGCACCGGCCACCGACACAGCTCGGGTCATCTGTGGGACCGGGGCACACAATGGGTGCTGTGGGGAACCCGGGGGGGGACACCCGAGGAGACACCGGTGGGTGAACAATGGGCACCATCGTGCACCCAACAGAAACGCAATGGCCACAAGGGTGAGCACCCGATGCGCACCCAATGGCCGCCGTGACATGCAGCCAACACGCACCCAGTGTGCACTCAATGGCCACCATGGTGAGCACCCATCACACACCCAATGGCCACCATGGAGGACACCCAAGATGGTCCTTATGGCCACCATGATGGGCAGCCAACATACACCCAATGGCCACCATGGTGAGCACCCAACACCTACCCAACAGGCATCACAGTGCCCACACAACATACACCCAATGGCCACCATGGTGGGCACCCAACACCTACCCAACAGGCATCACGGTGGCCACACAACATACACCCAATGGCCACCATGGTGGGCACCCAACACCTACCCAACAGGCATCACAGTGGCCGCACAACATACACCCAATGGCCACCATGGTTTGGACCATGCGCCCAATGGCCACCATTGTGGCCAGCCAATGCACAACCAAAGGCCATCATGACATACACCCGACAGCCACCCAGTGTACAACCAGTGGCCACCATGTTGCACACCCCAAGATAGACCCTATGGCCACCATGATAAGCAGCCAACATACACCCAATGGGCACCATGGTGGACACCCAACATACACCCAATGGGCACCATGGTGGACACCCAACATACACCCAATGGGCACCATGGTGAGTATTCAACACACATCCTATGGCCACCATGGTGTGGCCCATACGTACACCCAACAGCCACCACTGTGGGCACCCAACATGAACCTAATGGGCGCCATGGTGAACACCCAACATACACTCACTGGGCACCAAGGTGTGGACCGTATGTGCACACAACAGCCACTATGGTGGGAACACAATGTGTGCCCAATGGCCACCATGGCGTGGACTTTGTGTGCACCCAACAGCCACTGTGCCGGGCATGCAACATACACACAATGGCCAACACGGTGGGCACCCATTGTAGACCCAATGGCCACCATAGTAGGCACCCAATGTAGTCTGAATGGCCACCATGGTGAGCACCCAATGTAGACCAAGTGGGCACCATGGCGGGAACCCATTGAAGACCAAATGGCCACCATAGTAGGCACCCAATGTAGACCGAATGGCCACCATGGTGAGCACCCGATGTAGACCCAATGGCCACCATGGTGAACACTCAACATACATCCAATGGCCATCATGGTGTGGACTTTGTGTGCACCCAACAGCCACTGTGCTGGGCACGCCATTAACACAATGGCCACCATGGTGAGCACCCAATGTAGACCCAAAAGCCACCATGGTGAACACTCAACGTACATCCAATGGCCATCATGGTGTGCATCCAACATACACCCAAATGGGCACCATGGTGTGCATCCAACATACACCCAAATGGGCAGCACGGTGTGCATCCAACATACACCCAATGGCCATCATGGTAGGCATCCAACGTACAGCCAATGGGCACAATGGTGTGCATCCAACATACACCCAAATGGGCACCATGGTGGGCATCTAACATACACCCAAATGTGCACCATGGTGTGCATCCAACATGCACCCAAATGGGCACCACGGTGTGCGTCGAACATACACCCAATGGCCATCATGGTAGGCATCCAACGTACAGCCAATGGGCACCATGGTGTGCATCCAACATACACCCAAATGGGCACCATGGTGGGCATCCAACATATACCCAATGGCCATCATGGTAGGCATCCAACGTACAGCCAATGGGCACCATGGTGTGCATCCAACATACATCCAAATGGGCACCATGGTGTGCATCCAACATACACCCAAATGGGCACCATGGTGTGCATCCAACATACGGCCAATGGCAATCATGGTAGGAATCCGACATACAGCCAGTGGGCACCACAGTGTGCATCCAACATACACCCAAATGGGCACCATGGTGTGGACTTTGTGTGCACCCAACAGCCACTGTGCTGAGCATGCAACATACACACAATGGTCACCGTGATGAGCACCCATTGTAGACCCAATGGCCACCATAGCAGGCACTCAACGTAGACCAAATGGCCACCATGGTGAGCACCCGATGTAGACCCAATGGCCACCATGGTGAGCACTCGATGTAGACCCAACAGCCACCATGGTGAACACTCAACGTACATCCAATGGCCATCATGGTGTTCACTCAACATACACCCAATGGCCACCATGGCGTGGACTTTGTGTGCACCCAACAGCCACTGTACTGGGCACGCCATATACACACAATGGTCACCATGGTGGGCACCCATTGTAGACCCAACAGCCACCATGGTGAACACTCAACGTACGTCCAATGGCCACCATGGTGGGCACCCCATGCACACCCAATGCCCACCACGACCCCCACCCAACCGCCACCACAGTGGCCCCGGCTCCCCTCACCGCTGGTGGCGGGGCAGAACTGGCCGGTGGCGTTGCCGTAGCGGTGGACGCGGCAGCAGCGGCCGGTGGGGTTGAGCCAGTCGAGGAAGTCGTCGAGCCAGGAGGTGGCCGGGATGGCCAGGAAGGACCTGGGCAGGGGCCGTGCTCAGGAGCTGCAGGGGGGCCCCGCGCCGCCCCCCTGCCCGCAGCGCACTCACACGTTGGGGAAGCGCGTGGCCATCTCCACTGTGTGGGTCAGGGAGTCGCTGGCGCAGCCGGAGCTGGAGCAGATCCCGTTGGTGCCCTCTGGGGAGGAGAAGTTGTAGCCCTCGGTGGTGACGAAGAACACGGGGACCCCCACGGCCAGGTACTGGTTGAGGGCACTGAAGTACTGGAGCACGTAGGAGTCCTGGGGCACCCACTGAGGGTCAGATGGGTGCCAGCACCCACCGGGACACCCACCACAGCACCCACTGCGACAGCACCCACCATGACAGCACCCACCATGACACCAACCACAGCACCCACCGCAGCACCCACCGCAACAGCACCCACCATGACATCCAGCACAGCACCCACTGCAACAGCACCCACCATGACAGCACCCGCCATGACACCCAGCACAGTACCCACCGTGACAGCACCCACTGCAACAGCACCCACCATGGCACCCACCACAGCACCCACTGTGACAGCACCCACCATGCCACCCACCACGACACCCACCACAGCACCCAGCACAGCACACACTGCAACAGCACCCACCATGACAGCACCCACCACGACACCCAGTGGCTCTGGCACTCCTCAGTGGGGTCTCACTGCGCCTGCGTGGCCCCAGCCCCACGGGGACCATGCTGTGCCCACACCACCCCTGTGCTGGCTCTATACAGCCCCATCGAGGCCACCCCATCCCCACGGTGACCTTACGTGGGGGTGCGGTGTCCCCCCAGCAGCCCCACACAAACCCCCCCATGCCCATGGGCCGAGTCCCCACCTTGGGCATGGCGAGCTCCTGGTCCAGCCCCACGGGCACCTGCAGCATGAGGTAGAGCCCGGCGCAGGCGAGCAGGAGGAAGAGCAGCACCTGCAGCAGCAGCGCCCATCAGGGGACCCCCCCGCACCGCTGAACCCCCCAGTGCCCCCCCAGCACCCCTGGGTACCCCCGAGACACCCAAGGAACCCGCGAGGATCCTTGCCCCCCCCATAACACCCAAACCCCCATTGCCCCCCCTTCAAGGACCCCCCCCAGCCCCCCCTTGAACTCATTCCCCTCCTTGACCCCACCCCCCGTTGCCCCCCCTTGACCTCATCCCCCCCCCTTGTCCCCAGCTCCCCCCCTTGACCCCACCCCCCCGTTGCCCCCCCCTTGACCTCATCCCCCCTCCTTGTCCCCAGCTCCCCCTTGACCCCAGCCCCTGCCCTTGACCCCACGCCTCCACCCCCCTTGACCCCATCCCCCCCTTTGACCCCACCCCCCCTTGACCCCAGCTCCTCCCTTGACCCCACGCCCCCACCCCCCTTGACCCCATCCTCCCTTGACCCCACCCCCCCCTTGACCCCACCCCCCCTTGACCCCAGCCCCCCCCTTGTCCCCACCCCCCCTTTGACCCCCCCCCCCTTTGCCCCCCCTCCCCCCCTCACCACCGCTGGCCGCACTCTGGGGTGCAGCAGCCCCGGTCCCAGGCGCAGCAGCAGCGGCCGCAGCAGCCTCAGCGCCGGCCCCGCGGGGCCTTTGTCCACGCGGCAGCAGCAGCAGAGCTCGGGGCGCGAGGCCTGGGGGGGGAGGGGGAGCACGGACACGGGGTCACCCCCGGGAACCCCCAAACCCGCCCCTCCCCCCCTCCCGTCCCGGCCCCACCTCCTCGCGCCGGGCGTCGAGCGCCAGCAGCGCCACGAAGGCGGAGACCTGGAGCAGGAAATCGAAGGCGATGGCGAGGGCGGCAGTGAGGGAGAAGGTGCGGACGGCGGGCATGGAGGAGAGAGAGCCTGAACCGGGACAGCGGGAACCAGTGACACCGGCACCATGATACCAGGAACCAGTGACACCAGGACCCAGTGACACCAGGAACCAGTGACACCAGGAACCAGTGACACCAGGAACCAGTGACACCAGTACCAGTGACACCAGGAACCAGTGACACCAGGACCAGTGACACCAGGAACCAGTGACACCAGGAACCAGTGACACCAGGACCCAGTGACACCAGGAACCAGTGACACCAGGACCAGTGACACCAGGAACCAGTGACACCAGGAACCAGTGACACCAGGAACCAGTGACACCAGGACCAGTGACACCAGGAACCAGTGACACCAGGAACCAGTGACACCAGGACCAGTGACACCGGCACCAGTGACACCGGCACCAGTGACACCAGCACCAGTGACACCAGCACCAGTGACACCAGGAACCAGTGACACCAGGAACCAGTGACACCAGGACCAGTGACACCAGGAACCAGTGACACCAGGAACCAGTGACACCAGGAACCAGTGACACCAGGACCAGTGACACCAGGAACCAGTGACACCAGGAACCAGTGACACCAGGACCAGTGACACCGGCACCAGTGACACCGGCACCAGTGACACCAGCACCAGTGACACCAGCACCAGTGACACCAGGAACCAGTGACACCAGGAACCAGTGACACCAGGACCAGTGACACCAGGAACCAGTGACACCAGGAACCAGTGACACCAGGAACCAGTGACACCGGCACCAGTGACACCGGCACCAGTGACACCGGCACCAGTGACACCAGCACCAGTGACACCAGGAACCAGTGACACCAGGACCAGTGACACCGGCACCAGTGACACCGGCACCAGTGACACCAGCACCAGTGACACCAGCACCATGACACCAGCACCAGTGACACCAGGACCCAGTGACACCAGGACCCAGTGACACCAGGAACCAGTGACACCAGGAACCAGTGACACCAGGACCAGTGACACCAGGAACCAGTGACACCAGGAACCAGTGACACCAGGACCAGTGACACCGGCACCAGTGACACCGGCACCAGTGACACCGGCACCAGTGACACCAGCACCAGTGACACCAGGAACCAGTGACACCAGGAACCAGTGACACCAGGACCAGTGACACCGGCACCAGTGACACCGGCACCAGTGACACCAGCACCAGTGACACCAGCACCATGACACCAGCACCAGTGACACCAGGACCCAGTGACACCAGGACCCAGTGACACCAGGAACCAGTGACACCAGGAACCAGTGACACCAGGACCAGTGACACCAGCACCAGTGACACCAGCACCATGACACCAGCACCAGTGACACCAGGACCCAGTGACACCAGGACCCAGTGACACCAGGAACCAGTGACACCAGGAACCAGTGACACCAGGACCAGTGACACCAGCACCAGTGACACCAGCACCATGACACCAGCACCAGTGACACCAGGACCCAGTGACACCAGGACCAGTGACACCAGGAACCAGTGACACCAGGAACCAGTGACACCAGCACCAGTGACACCAGCACCAGTGACACCAGGACCCAGTGACACCAGGACCCAGTGACACCAGGAACCAGTGACACCAGCACCAGTGACACCAGCACCAGTGACACCAGGACCCAGTGACACCAGGACCCAGTGACACCAGGAACCAGTGACACCAGGAACCAGTGACACCAGGACCAGTGACACCAGCACCAGTGACACCAGTACCAGTGACACCGGCACCAGTGACACCAGCACCAGTGACACCAGTACCAGTGACACCGGCACCAGTGACACCAGGAACCAGTGACACCAGCACCAGTGACACCAGCACCAGTGACACCGGCACCAGTGACACCAGGAACCAGTGACACCAGCACCAGTGACACCAGCACCAGTGACACCAGCACCAGTGACACCGGCACCAGTGACACCAGGAACCAGTGACACCGGTACCAGCGACACCAGTACCAGTGACACCAGCACCAGTGACACCAGCACCAGTGACACCGGCACCAGTGACACCAGGCACCAGTGACACCGACACCAGTGACACCAGGAACCAGTGACACCAGGACCGGTGACACCAGGACCGGTGACACCGGCACCAGTGACACCGGTACCAGTGACACCAGTACCAGTGACACCAGCACCAGTGACACCGGCACCAGTGACACCAGGAACCAGTGACACCGACACCAGTGACACCAGGAACCAGTGACACCAGGACCGGTGACACCAGCACCAGTGACACCAGCACCATGACACCAGCACCAGTGACACCAGGACCCAGTGACACCAGGACCAGTGACACCAGGAACCAGTGACACCAGGAACCAGTGACACCAGCACCAGTGACACCAGCACCAGTGACACCAGGACCCAGTGACACCAGGACCCAGTGACACCAGGAACCAGTGACACCAGGAACCAGTGACACCAGCACCAGTGACACCAGCACCAGTGACACCAGGACCCAGTGACACCAGGAACCAGTGACACCAGGAACCAGTGACACCAGGACCAGTGACACCAGCACCAGTGACACCAGTACCAGTGACACCGGCACCAGTGACACCAGCACCAGTGACACCAGTACCAGTGACACCGGCACCAGTGACACCAGGAACCAGTGACACCAGCACCAGTGACACCAGCACCAGTGACACCGGCACCAGTGACACCAGGAACCAGTGACACCAGCACCAGTGACACCAGTACCAGTGACACCAGCACCAGTGACACCAGCACCAGTGACACCGGCACCAGTGACACCAGGAACCAGTGACACCAGTACCAGTGACACCAGCACCAGTGACACCAGCACCAGTGACACCGGCACCAGTGACACCAGGCACCAGTGACACCGACACCAGTGACACCAGGAACCAGTGACACCAGGACCAGTGACACCGGCACCAGTGACACCGGCACCAGTGACACCAGCACCAGTGACACCAGCACCAGTGACACCAGGAACCAGTGACACCAGGAACCAGTGACACCAGGACCAGTGACACCAGGAACCAGTGACACCAGGAACCAGTGACACCAGGAACCAGTGACACCGGCACCAGTGACACCGGCACCAGTGACACCGGCACCAGTGACACCAGCACCAGTGACACCAGGAACCAGTGACACCAGGACCAGTGACACCGGCACCAGTGACACCGGCACCAGTGACACCAGCACCAGTGACACCAGCACCATGACACCAGCACCAGTGACACCAGGACCCAGTGACACCAGGACCCAGTGACACCAGGAACCAGTGACACCAGGAACCAGTGACACCAGGACCAGTGACACCAGGAACCAGTGACACCAGGAACCAGTGACACCAGGACCAGTGACACCGGCACCAGTGACACCGGCACCAGTGACACCGGCACCAGTGACACCAGCACCAGTGACACCAGGAACCAGTGACACCAGGAACCAGTGACACCAGGACCAGTGACACCGGCACCAGTGACACCGGCACCAGTGACACCAGCACCAGTGACACCAGCACCATGACACCAGCACCAGTGACACCAGGACCCAGTGACACCAGGACCCAGTGACACCAGGAACCAGTGACACCAGGAACCAGTGACACCAGGACCAGTGACACCAGCACCAGTGACACCAGCACCATGACACCAGCACCAGTGACACCAGGACCCAGTGACACCAGGACCCAGTGACACCAGGAACCAGTGACACCAGGAACCAGTGACACCAGGACCAGTGACACCAGCACCAGTGACACCAGCACCATGACACCAGCACCAGTGACACCAGGACCCAGTGACACCAGGACCAGTGACACCAGGAACCAGTGACACCAGGAACCAGTGACACCAGCACCAGTGACACCAGCACCAGTGACACCAGGACCCAGTGACACCAGGACCCAGTGACACCAGGAACCAGTGACACCAGCACCAGTGACACCAGCACCAGTGACACCAGGACCCAGTGACACCAGGACCCAGTGACACCAGGAACCAGTGACACCAGGAACCAGTGACACCAGGACCAGTGACACCAGCACCAGTGACACCAGTACCAGTGACACCGGCACCAGTGACACCAGCACCAGTGACACCAGTACCAGTGACACCGGCACCAGTGACACCAGGAACCAGTGACACCAGCACCAGTGACACCAGCACCAGTGACACCGGCACCAGTGACACCAGGAACCAGTGACACCAGCACCAGTGACACCAGCACCAGTGACACCAGCACCAGTGACACCGGCACCAGTGACACCAGGAACCAGTGACACCGGTACCAGCGACACCAGTACCAGTGACACCAGCACCAGTGACACCAGCACCAGTGACACCGGCACCAGTGACACCAGGCACCAGTGACACCGACACCAGTGACACCAGGAACCAGTGACACCAGGACCGGTGACACCAGGACCGGTGACACCGGCACCAGTGACACCGGTACCAGTGACACCAGTACCAGTGACACCAGCACCAGTGACACCGGCACCAGTGACACCAGGAACCAGTGACAGCGACACCAGTGACACCAGGAACCAGTGACACCAGGACCGGTGACACCAGCACCAGTGACACCAGCACCATGACACCAGCACCAGTGACACCAGGACCCAGTGACACCAGGACCAGTGACACCAGGAACCAGTGACACCAGGAACCAGTGACACCAGCACCAGTGACACCAGCACCAGTGACACCAGGACCCAGTGACACCAGGACCCAGTGACACCAGGAACCAGTGACACCAGGAACCAGTGACACCAGCACCAGTGACACCAGCACCAGTGACACCAGGACCCAGTGACACCAGGAACCAGTGACACCAGGAACCAGTGACACCAGGACCAGTGACACCAGCACCAGTGACACCAGTACCAGTGACACCGGCACCAGTGACACCAGCACCAGTGACACCAGTACCAGTGACACCGGCACCAGTGACACCAGGAACCAGTGACACCAGCACCAGTGACACCAGCACCAGTGACACCGGCACCAGTGACACCAGGAACCAGTGACACCAGCACCAGTGACACCAGTACCAGTGACACCAGCACCAGTGACACCAGCACCAGTGACACCGGCACCAGTGACACCAGGAACCAGTGACACCAGTACCAGTGACACCAGCACCAGTGACACCAGCACCAGTGACACCGGCACCAGTGACACCAGGCACCAGTGACACCGACACCAGTGACACCAGGAACCAGTGACACCAGGACCGGTGACACCAGGACCGGTGACACCGGCACCAGTGACACCGGTACCAGTGACACCAGTACCAGTGACACCAGCACCAGTGACACCGGCACCAGTGACACCAGGAACCAGTGACACCGACACCAGTGACACCAGGAACCAGTGACACCAGGACCGGTGACACCAGGACCGGTGACACAAGGACCCAGTGACACCGGCACCAGTGACACCGGTACCAGTGACACCAGTACCAGTGACACCAGCACCAGTGACACCGGCACCAGTGACACCAGGAACCAGTGACACCGACACCAGTGACACCAGGAACCAGTGACACCAGCAGCAGTGACACCAGGACCAGTGACACCAGTACCAGTGACACCGGCACCAGTGACACCAGGAACCAGTGACACCAGCACCAGTGACACCAGCACCAGTGACACCGGCACCAGTGACACCAGGAACCAGTGACACCAGCACCAGTGACACCAGTACCAGTGACACCAGCACCAGTGACACCAGCACCAGTGACACCGGCACCAGTGACACCAGGAACCAGTGACACCAGTACCAGTGACACCAGCACCAGTGACACCAGCACCAGTGACACCGGCACCAGTGACACCAGGCACCAGTGACACCGACACCAGTGACACCAGGAACCAGTGACACCAGGACCGGTGACACCAGGACCGGTGACACCGGCACCAGTGACACCGGTACCAGTGACACCAGTACCAGTGACACCAGCACCAGTGACACCGGCACCAGTGACACCAGGAACCAGTGACACCGACACCAGTGACACCAGGAACCAGTGACACCAGGACCGGTGACACCAGGACCGGTGACACAAGGACCCAGTGACACCGGCACCAGTGACACCGGTACCAGTGACACCAGTACCAGTGACACCAGCACCAGTGACACCTGCACCAGTGACACCAGGAACCAGTGACACCGACACCAGTGACACCAGGAACCAGTGACACCAGCAGCAGTGACACCAGGACCAGTGACACCGGCACCAGTGACACCAGCACCAGTGACACCGGCACCAGTGACACCGGCACCAGTGACACCAGCACCAGTGACACCGGCACCAGTGACACCAGGACCCAGTGACACCAGGACCGGTGACACCAGGACCGGTGACACCAGGACCCAGTGACACCGGCACCAGTGACACCAGGACCAGTGACACCAGCACCATGACACCAGCACCAGTGACACCAATACCAGTGACACCAGCACCGGTGACATCAGGACCGGTGACACCAGCACCGGTGACATCAGGACCGGTGACACCAGCACCATGACACCAGGAACCAGTGACACCGGCACCAGTGACACCAGGAACCAGTGACACCGGCACCAGTGACACCAGGACCAGTGACATCAGGAACCAGTGACACCGGCACCATGATACCAGGAACGGTGACACCAGGAACCAGTGACACCAGGACCCAGTGACACCAATACCAGTGACACCAGGAACCAGTGACACCGGCACCAGTGACACCAGGAACCAGTGACACCAGGACCCAGTGACACCAGGAACCAGTGACACCAGCACCATGATACCAGGACCAGTGACATCAGGAACCAGTGACACCGGTACCAGTGACACCAGTACCAGTGACACCAGGAACCAGTGATACCGGCACCAGTGACACCAGGACCCAGTGACACCAGGACCGGTGACATCAGGACCCAGTGACACCAGGACCCAGTGACACCAATACCAGTGACACCAGCATCAGTGACACCAGGACCAGTGACACCAGGAACCAGTGACACCAGCACCATGACACCAGCACCAGTGACACCAGTACCAGTGACACCAGCACCAGTGACACCAGGACCCAGTGACACCAATACCAGTGACACCAGCACCAGTGACACCAGGACCAGTGACACCAGGAACCAGTGACACGAGCACCATGACACCAGCACCAGTGACACCAGTACCAGTGACACCAGCACCAGTGACACCAGGACCCAGTGACACCAATACCAGTGACACCAGCACCAGTGACACCAGGACCAGTGACACCAGGAACCAGTGACACCAGCACCATGACACCAGGACCAGTGACACCAGCACCAGTGACACCAGCACCAGTGACACCAGGACCAGTGACACCAGGAACCAGTGACACCAGCACCATGACACCAGGACCAGTGACACCAGCACCAGTGACACCAGGCACCAGTGACACCAGGACCGGTGACACAAGGACCCAGTGACACCGGTACCAGTGACACCAGTACCAGTGACACCAGCAGCAGTGACACCGGCACCAGTGACACCAGGACCAGTGACACCGGCACCAGTGACACCAGCACCAGTGACACCGGCACCAGTGACACCGGCACCAGTGACACCAGCACCAGTGACACCAGCACCAGTGACACCAGCACCAGTGACACCAGAAACCAGTGACACCAGGAACCAGTGACACCAGCACCAGTGACACCAGCACCAGTGTCCTGGTGCCCCAGCACCCTCAGCACCCACAGGCTCCCCTGCCTGATGGGGGTCCCCCATGTGCCCCCATGTCCCTGACCCCCCTGTGAGCACCGTGCCCCCGTCGCCCCGCGCCGCTCACCCAGCAGGAAGCAGATGAGCTCGGAGAGGCTGCACAGCACCGTGCTGGGGGCCACCTGCGCCAGCACCCGCCCGATGTGATCCTCCCGCCGCTCGCCCGGCTCCCGCGGCGACTGCTGCTGACACAGCGGGGACATAGGGACCCTGACCCACAGCGGACATGGGGACCCTGACCCACAGCAGGGACGTGGGGAACCCTGACCCACAGCAGGGACATGGGGAACCCTGACCCACAGCAGGGACATGGGGACCCTGACCCACAGCGGGGACATGGGGAACCCCGACCCACAGCGGGGACGTGGGGAACCCTGACCCACAGAGGGGACATGGGGAACCCCGACCCACAGTGGACATGGGGACCCTGACCCACAGCAGGGACGTGGGGAACCCTGACCCACAGCAGGGACATGGGGACCCTGACCCACAGCAGGGACATGGGGACCCTGACCCACAGCGGGGACATGGGGACCCTGACCCACAGCGGACATGGGGACCCTGACCCACAGCAGGGACGTGGGGAACCCTGACCCACAGCAGGGACATGGGGAACCCTGACCCACAGCAGGGACATGGGGACCCTGACCCACAGCAGGGACGTGGGGAACCCTGACCCACAGCGGGGACGTGGGGACCCTGACCCACAGCGGGGACGTGGGGAACCCTGACCCACAGAGGGGACGTGGGGACCCTGACCCACAGTGGGGACGTGGGGACCCTGACCCACAGAGGGGACGTGGGGAACCCTGACCCACAGCGGGGACATGGGGAACCCTGACCCACAGAGGGGACGTGGGGACCCTGACCCACACTGGGACCAAGGTGACCCCCAACCAACACCAGGACCACGGGGATGCCCACAGGACCTCCGTACCCACCGGTGCCCCCATGCTCCATGGGGACCCTGTCCCCAAGGGGCCCCGCTGACCCCGCCCCACGGCACCCCCCGTGCCCCACACCTGGTACTCCTGCACGAAGATGAAGATGTTGTCGGCGCCCACAGCGAGGATGAGGAAGGGCACGACCTCGAGGATGATGAGGGACGAGGGCAGCCCCAGCAGCGCCAGCAGCCCCATGGCGGAGAACACGGCGCCGATGACCACGGCGATGCCGCCCAGTGCCAGCGTCACCTTCGACTCCACCTGCGACGGGGGACGCTCAGCACCCAACGGGGCACCCACAGGCGCCGCCGCCACCCCGAGCCCTCCCCGCACCCACCAGCACGCGGCGCCAGGCCGTGTACTCGCCCAGCGCCAGCGCGATGTAGGCGAACACCACGGCGTAGCTGATGGCGAAGATGGGGACGTCCTCGCCCGTGGTGCGGTTGATCTCGTCCTCCAGCGAGCGCTGAGGGGAAGGAGGTGGGTGAGGGGGGGAGCCAGGCACCCATGGGTGCTGCCGGGGCCCCCGGCGGGGCTCACCTCGGCCATGAAGGCGACGGAGAGGTTGTGGCCGTGGGTGCGCTGGAAGTCCCGGACCACCTGGAGGAAGCGGCTCTCCCAGCTCAGCACCCACTCGTGCCGCGGGTCCTCGCGCGGGAAGTTGTTGAGCGAGTAGGTGACGATGAGCGCCTCGGCCTCCGTGTACTCCGAGCCTGGGGACAGCCGCGCGTGGGAGACAGCCAGAGGGTGACAGCACATAGGGGGACGTGACACCCGGCCCACCAATGGGTGACATCCCATCAATAGGTGATGTGACACCCGTACCATCAATGGGTGGCATCCCTCCAGTGAGTGACATCCCACCAATGGGTGACATCCCATCAATGGGTGATGTGACACCCGTCCCACCAATGGGTGACGTCCCACCAATGGGTGTCATCCCACCAATGGGTGACGTCCCACCAATGGGTGACGTCCCACAAACGGGTGACATGACACCCATCCCACCAATGGGTGATGTCCCACCAATGGGTGTCATCCCACCAATGGTTGACGTGACAACTGGCCCACCAATGGGTGACATCCCACCAATGGGTGACGTCCCACCAATGGGTGTCATCCCACCAATGGGTGACGTCCCACAAACGGGTGACATGACACCCGTCCCACCAATGGGTGACGTCCCACCAATGGGTGACATCCCACCAATGGGTGACGTGACACCCGTCCCACCAGCGGGTGACATCCCACCATTGGGTGATGTGACACCTGGCCCACCAATGGGTGACATCCCTCCAACAAGTGACATCCCATCAATGGATGACATCACATCCATGGGTGATGTGACACCCATCCCACCAATGGGTGACGTGACACCTGTACAACCAATGGGTGGCATCCCACCAATGGGTGACATCGCTCCAACAAGTGACATCCCATCAATGGGTGACATCCCATCAATGGGTGATGTGACACCCATCCCACCAATGGGTGACGTGACACCCGTCCAACCAATGGGTGGCATCCCACCAATGGGTGACATCCCACATCCCATCAATGGGTGATGTGACAGCCGTCCCACCAATGGGCGGTGTCCCACCAATGGGTGACGTGACACTGGGTGACGTGCTACCCATCCCACTGGGTGACATCGCATCGGGGGTACGACACCCATCGCATCAGGTGACACCCAACAGGCTGACATCCCCCTGGGTGACGTGAGATCCATCGCGGGTGGGTGACATCCCATGGGGTGCCATGACACCGGATGGTGCCACCCACCCCAGCCGGTGACGGGAGGCACCCACCCCACGGGGTGCCGTTCCCTTGGGCACCGTGACACCCAGCCCACGGGGTCACATCAACCCGGGTGCCATTGCGCCGTTGAACAACACGACGCCAACCCCACGGGGTGCTGTGACCGCCCCACCGCGGGCCCCATCCTGCTCACCGCTGTAGCCACCCAAGGCGATGTAGGGGAACACGGGGCCGCCGTAGTCAGCCGTGCAGCTCAGCTCCAGCGCCGTGATGTCCTTGAAGGACAGCGGGGAGCTGCGGGGCGCAGACACCGGCACCGTCACCGCGCCGCCCGCCCGCACCCATCCCCGCGCCGCCGGCGCCGCGGCACCCACTTGACGCAGTAGATGAGGTGGTCGCGCCAGTCCACGGTGCCGGTGTCTTTGCCGTGGGGCTGCGTGGCCACCATGGCCAGGCGGGTGCCGTTGTTCTGGAAGTACTGGGTGACGCTGTTGACGCAACAGTCGGCGGGCGCAGGGCTGCCGGGGTTCAGCGGCGCGTAGCACACGTCCTGCAGCCTCACCGGCCTTGCCGAGCCCGGCGCCGGCGCCGTGGCGGCCGCCAACCGCTCCTGCAGCTCCAGCAGCGCCCGCAGCACCTCCATGGAGAGCACGGCGCTGAAGTTCTTGGCGCCGAACAGCACCGAGTCGTAGCGGGAGCCGTTGCGCCGCGGCGCCGTCACGATCACCTGGTTGGTGCGGAGGAAGGGCCCGAAGTGTTGGTCGTAAAAGGCCTTCTCCTGCCGCGCGCGGCTGCCCGGCGCCGACCACAGCTCCACGGGGTCGGTGGTGAGGCGCAGGGTGCGGAACCCGGCCGACAGCCCCGCCACCAGCCCCGCGGCCACCACCAGCACCGGCAGCGGGTGCGCGGCCACCAGCACCCCCCACCAGCGGAACGCCCGCACCAGCGCCCGGTGCCAGGCGTCGCCCCATCGCGCCGAGCAGCCGCAGGCGCTGGCCGGGGCCGGCTGCAGCGTGATGCCCTGCTTGGAGCCGCGGTGCCGGCGGCACAGGGCGAGGAGGAAGAGGAGGGCGAGGAGGGCGAAGAGCAGCGCGCACAGCACCAGGGCGCCGTCGGCGGCACCGATGCGGAAGGGGGGCGCGGGGCCGGCCGGGGGGGTGATGGTGGGGCAGGACTCGGCGCAGTCCTGGCAGGAGCACGCCTGCTCCTCGGCGCTGAGGGCCTGGCTGCAGCTCCAGGCCTGCGCGTGCAGCGGCTGCAGGGCCTCGCCGGGGTCGGTGCCGTCGGGCACGAGGTGGAAGTCGATCTGCAGCGGCGCCAGCCCGTTGCTCTTGTCCCCTTGGAAGTCGAGCCAGCGCTGCGCGGTGCAGAGCTGCGCGCCATACAGCCCGCACATGGTGTCCAGCGCGAAGCCGCCGGTGGCCGGGAGCCGGACGCCGTGGCACGAGGCGAAGGCGGCGTCGGCGAACTCCTGCCGGTAGAAGCACTGGTACTCGACGACGGCGAACCGGGCCGTGCCCTGCACCGGCACCGCGCGCGTGACGTTGACGAAGAGGCTCTGGTCGGGGCTGCAGATGTTGTGGCAGTGGATGTTGGCGAAGTTGCGGGCGCAGGCGGGGCAGCGGGCGAGCACGGTGCCGGACAGCGCCACGCTGAGCTGCAGCGCCAGGAGCTGCGCCAGGCTGCAGCACACCCGCGGCGCCCCGGCCGCGCCGAGCACCAGGTCTGGGCACACGGAGCTCAGCAGCTCCAGGAGCGCGCCCGTGGCCTCCCGCGCCGCCGTGTTGGACACGCAGGGCACCTGGGAGGCCACCAGGGACACGTTCACCTCCGGGTTGTAGCCGCATTCGCCGTAGAAGGCGCAGACACCGGCGCTGTGGGTGGGGGTCCACGATGGGGCCACCTGCGGGGGCCGGAGCCATGGGGTGGGTTGGGGTGAAGGGAGCCTAAAGCTCCTCCAGCTCCAACCCCTGCCACGGGCAGGGACACCTTCCACTGGAGCAGCTTGCTCCAAGCCCCTGTGTCCAACCTGGCCTTGAGCACTGCCAGGGATGGGGCAGCCACAGCTTCTCTGGGCACCCTGTGCCAGCGCCTCAGCACCCTCACAGGGAAGAGCTTCTGCCTAAGAGCTCAGCTCGGGCAGGTTCAAGCCATCCCCTTGCCCTGCCCCTACAGCCCTTATATCCCAAAGCCCCTCTCCAGCACCCTTGCGGGCACAGGGAGGAGCCCCGCACTGCTGCACCCACAGCTCGGCTGTCACCAGGGTCAGCATCAGGTCCCGGTGTAGTGTGTGCCTTGTGCCCCTGTCCCCATATCCCATACCCCACGTCCTCATGTCCCAATATCCACGTCCCCATATCCCGTATTTCTATATCCCAATGTCCCCATATCCCCATGTCCCATATGCCTGTATCCCATGTCCCTATATCTCCATATCCCCATGTCCCATACCCCATGTCCTCATGTCCCCATATCCCGTATTTCTCTATCCCAATGTCCCCATATCCCCATGTCCCATATGCCTGTATCCCATGTCCCTATATCTCCATATCCCCATGTCCCATACCCCATGTCTCTCACCCCCCCCACACTGGTGCTCACGGTCCCCATCCCCGCTCACCCAGGCCCGGGCACTCACCAGCGCCAGCAGCGCCGCCAGCACCGCCATGGCCAGCACGGTGGCCCCCGGCATCGTGGGCACAAGGTGCTGCCGGTGCCACCCGGTCCCTGTGAGCCCCTGTCCCGGGGTGGTTGCCCGGTGCCATCGGTGCAGTCTGGCCTGACCGGCGCCAAAGCCAATCAGGCCTCGGCAGAGCAGTAAAGCCCTTGTGATCATTAACCCCGATCGATAACGGTGCCAGGGAGGTGCCCCCCCGGCACGGCACCGGCGCCACAGCACTGCCGGGCACCGGGATGGGGCTCACGGGTGAGGGGGATCCCAGCACCGGGATGCGGGATGGGGCAAAACCAGCCACAGGGGCTGGTACCAACCCGGGGATGACGGTGCCACCGTGCCGGGACGGGCTCACCCTGGAGCTGGGCCCCATTAAGGAGGTGTCTTGGTGGGTGACACAACACAGGGCACCCTTCCCACGGCGCCAGCCCCACACACACCCGGTTCCCAGGCTCCTGGCAACACCAGGACACCCCAAACCCGGGGTTCCCCCCCCACCCCGTGTCCTTGCCCTGTTTATGGCTGTGATAAGGGGGGGCTGATAACGTCGGGGCACCTTTGCCCGGCGAGCTCCCCTGCGTCACCAACCGTCCCTGTCACCACGCAGCGCCTCGGGGCTATGGGCACCTTTATTGGGCACAAGCAATGGGGTGCAGGGGGAGCCCCCGAGGGGGGGGGTGCCGGGGGGGCTCAGGACGGTGCCGCAGCACCGGGACGCTTGCTCCGGCGCCGCGTGTACTTGAAGTTCTGCAGTGGGTTCCCGGAGCCGCGGGACTGGAGGGGGGGGGAGAAGAAAAGCACCATGAGGACCCCCCCATAGCAGAGGGTGCATCGGGGGGGGGTCCCCATCGCTCCCACTCACCGCTGCACCCCCCCTTCGGGAGGCCCCTGTGCGGGGCGGGCGCTGCCACTTGCGCTTCTTGAGGCTGGGTTTGACGACCCCGCGGAGGCTGGGGGGCACTGGGGGCAGACAGAGCGGTGAGGGGGGGTCTGGGGGCAGCCCCCTGTGTCCCCCCCCCACGGAGCGGGGCCGTACCCAGGTAGTCGGGCACGTTGCGGAGGTGCGGCTGCACGATGGCCGGGTGCAGGGGTTTGTCGTGGCGCAGGACGTGCAGGTCCCGGGGGTTGTCCTCGAAATACGCCTGGGGGGGGCACACACGGAGAGAGAATTGGGGGTACTGGGGGTGGGCAGCGCCCCTGGACCCCCCCCCCAGCCCCGAGGGGGGGTCGTTGTTACCTTGAGCTTCTCAGAGTTGAGGAGCTCGTCCTTGATCTCCCGCAGCCGCGCTTCCTTCACCGCCTGCTTGGTGACCGAGCGCATGGCGTCCTGGGGGGGGGGGTCAGAGGTTGGCACCCCTAAACTGGTGCCACCGGACACCCCCCCCCCCAGGTCCCTCACGTACCCGGCAGCGGTAGCGCAGCCCCTCGATCTCCTCCATGCAGAACTTGTAGGGCTGCAGCATGGACTCACCGTTGTCTGTGCGTACGGGGTGGGGGGGAGGCACACACAGGGTCACCCCCTGCTTGTCCTGACACCCCCCCCCCCCCTCAACCCCCCACAACGGGCCATGGGGACGCCCCCACCTCCTGCCAGCGCGTCCTCGATGCGGGCCAGGCTCTCCTCCTCCTCGGGCAGCGCCAGTGTCAGCGCCGTGCCGGGGTTGTCCGCCCGGGCTGTCCTGCAGCACAGAGGGGACGCGGTGGTGGGGACCCCCCCCAACCCGTGTGTCCCTGTGCCCCCCACCCCCCCCCCGCCCCACAGACCGGCCCACGCGGTGGATGTAGGACTCGACCGTGTCGGGCACATCGAAGTTGATGACAGCGGCCACGTTCTGGAAGTCGATGCCGCGCGAGACGCTGAACTCGGGGTCCTTGCCCTTGCTGGGGGGGGGACACAGGACATGAGGTGTTGGGAACCCCCCCATGGGCACAGGGACAATGGGACAGGGGGACCCCAAAGCTGCAGGGACAGGGCAAAGAGCCCCCCCCCAAAAGGAAGGGGATGTGCCTCAAGGGACCCCCCAGGGCAGCAGCAGCCCCATGGCTCCGGGTGACGTCCCCGGCCCCAATGGGTGCAGCAGCAGGACATGGCCCCACTGACCCCTGCTGCCATGGGGACACCCCCAGTGCCACGGGGACACCTCCAGTGCCACGGGGACACCCTCAGTGCCACGGGGACACCCTCAGTGCCACGGGGACACCTCCAGTGCCACGGGGACACCCTCAGTGCCACGGGGACACCTCCAGTGCCACAGGGACACCTCCAGTGCCACGGGGACACCTCCAGTGCCACAGAGACACCCCCAGTGCCACGGGGACACCCTCAGTGCCATGGGGACACCCCCAGTGCCACGGGGACACCCCCAGTGCCATGGGGACACCCTGGTGCAATGGGGACACCCTCGGTGCCATGGGGAAACCTCCGGTGCCATGGGGACACCCTCAGTGCCACGGGGACACCCCGGTGACACAGAGCCCCCCCCACCCCATGCTCACCCCTGCACCGGCCCCCGGCGCTTCCTGCGCCGTGGCTGCTCTGGCTGCGGCTCTGGCTGCGGCTCCGGCACCGGCGCCTCCTCGTCCGTGGCCACGATGTAGTCGTAGATGCCGCGGTTGAACTGGGCGATGATGTGACACCTGCGCCATGGGGGGGTTCAGCACCCAACTTGGGGTGACCCCCCCCCCATCAGCACCCACAACATGCTGGGGCCCGCTCCAAGGTGCCCTTCACCCCATGGGACCCCCCTTTCCATGGGACGTGGACCATTTCCATGAGCACCCCTTGTCCCCAAGGAGCACCCTAAGGCCTCGCCTCGGCTCGCACCCCCCTCAGCACTGCCCCATCTCCCTGGGACACCCCATTTTCCCCTTCACCCTCCTCAATGGACACCCCAAACCCTTCTGGCACGTCCCAACGGGTGTCCTTCCCTATTGCCACGGGACACCCTCGAGCACCCCTTGGCCCCAGGGTGCTCCATCCTCCTTCACGAGCATCTCACTGTCCCCTTCACCCCCCTGGAACCTCCCCCGGGGGTGTCCTTCACCCTATGGCCATTCCCCCCAGCACCTCAAGAGCATCCGATGGCCATGGGGGACCCCCTCGGGCACCTCTTGTCCCCGAGGAGCACCCCAGCTCCTGCCAGCCCTGCCCTGGGGCTCACCGGGAGCGCGCCGGCAGCTCGGGGTTGAGGGCGCAGGCGCCGATGCCGAACTGCTCGAGGAGCAGCTTGAGGCGGTAGCAGCGGGGCAGGGAGGACACGAAGAGCAGGGCCCGGCCGCGCAGCACCCGCAGCCGCAGCAGCGCCACCAACACCAGCACCTTGTCCTCGGCCGTGCCGCAGCGCAGCACCAACTGCTGCAGCTGAGCCGGGCCTGGCAGCGGGGCCTGCGCCGGGCACAGCCGCACCTGCACCCGGGAACCGTGGGGCCGCCGTGACCCCAACGGGCTCTGGGCTGGGGGCAGCACCTCTGTGCCCACAGACCTGCTGCTGCCCCCAAACCTGACCCTGCAGCCCCAAAAACTGCCCCTGCCCCCCCCCCGAACCTGCCCCTGCCCCCCCGAACCTGACCCTGACCCCCCAAACCTGCCCCTGCCCCCCCCAAACCTGCCCCTGACCCCCCAAACCTGCCCCTGCCCCCCCCGAACCTGACCCTGCCCCCCCCAAACCTGCCCCTGCCCCCCCCGAACCTGCCCCTGACCCCCCAAACCTGCCCCCTGCCCCCCCCCCGAACCTGCCCCTGCCCCCCCCTTGAACCTGCCCCTGCAGCCCCAAACCCCGCCCCTGCCCCCCCCGAACCTGACCCTGCCCCCCCCGAACCTGACCCTGCCCCCCCAAACCCGCCCCTGCCCCCCCAAACCCGCCCCTGCAGCCCCAAACCCGCCCCTGCAGCCCCAAAACCAGCCCCCTGCCCCCCCAAACCCGCTCCTGCCCACCCCCAAACCCGCTCCTGCCCCACCCCAAACCTGCCCCTGCCCATCCCAAATCTGACCCTCTGCCCCCAACCTGCCCCTACCCCCCCCAAACCTTCCCTGGACCCCCCAAACTTCCCACTGGATGCCCCAAAGCCACCTCTGATCCCCCCCCCCCCCCCCCCCCCCCCGACACCTCAAATCTCCCTTCTGACCCGCCAAACCTGCTCTCGGACCCCCAGATCCTCCCCTGGACCCTCCAAACACCCCCCCAGACACCCCAGAGCTGTCCCTGGAGCCCCCAAACCTCTCCAGACCCCTAAAACCAGCCCAAAGACCCCCCCAAAACTCCCCCCTTGCCCTCACCGGGTTGTGCAGCCTCCTTGAGCGCCTCCACGTCGGGGTCTGGAGACGGTGGGCCGACATCAGCAGCGCCTGAGAGATCTTGGGGAGGTGGCTGGGGGGGGCACAGGGGGGTCAGCGCCAGCCCTTACCCCATGGGGACCCCCGCATCCCAGCCCTTGAACCCCGCTGTGCCCCCCAAAACCTTGGGCCCCAACCCCTGACTGTGCCCCCCCCGCTCTCCTGCCCAAGCCCCATCGCACCCCCCCCGACCCCCAGCCACAGCAGTGCCCCCCCAGGCCCTGTGAGTGCCCCCCATGGCCCCCAGCCCCTCACCAGAGCAGGGCCTTGATGTCCTCGAGGCAGCCGAAGCCCAGGAGCAGGTCGGCCTCATCCAGCACCAGCAGCTCCAGCGAGTGCCGCAGCACCAGGCTGCGGGCAGTGACCTGCGCCAGCACCCGCCCCGGCGTCCCCACCAGCACGTCCGGCTGTGCCGCCACCACGGGCCTGAGACAGCGTGGCACCATGGGGATGTGGGGCTGGGGGGGGTATAGGGGGGCTGGGGGTTGGACAATGGGGTCTGTGGGGTGACATGGGGACACCACGGGGTGACACGGGGACACTGGGGGATGACACAGGGACACCAGGGAGTGAAATGGTGACACTGGGGGGGTGACACGGTGACAACCGAGGGCGCTGGGGGATGACGGGGTGACACCAAGGGGTGACTGAGTGGCACTGGGGTTGGACACAGTGACAACAAGGGGTGACCCGATGGCAATGGGGGGTGACACGGGGACACCTAGGGGTGACCCGATGGCAATGGGGGGTGACACAGGGACACCTAGGGGTGACCCCATGACAATGGGGGGTGACATGGGGACACCTAGGGGTGACCCGATGGCAATGGGGGGTGACACGGGGACACCAAGGGTGACCCCATGACAATGGGGGGTGACATGGGGACACCTAGGGGTGACCCGATGGCAATGGGGGGTGACACGGGGACACCAAGGGGTGACCCGATGGCAATGGGGGGTGACACGGGGACACCAAGGGTGATGTGATGACAATGGGGGGTGACATGGGGACACCTAGGGGTGACCCGATGGCAATGGGGGGTGACACAGGGACACCAAGGGGTGACCCGATGGCAATGGGGGGTGACACGGGGACACCAAGGGGTGACCCGATGGCAATGGGGGGTGACACGGGGACACCAAGGGGTGACCCGATGGCAATGGGGGGTGACACGGGGACACCAAGGGTGACCCGATGGCAATGGGGGGTGACACGGGGACAACAAGGGTAACCCCATGACAATGGGGGGGTGACACGGGGACACCTAGGGGTGACCCGATGGCAATGGGGGGTGACACAGGGACACCAAGGGTGATGTGATGACAATGGGGGGTGACACCAAGGGGGAGCCGGGCACTCACCGCAGCGCCGCAGGGTCCCCGTCCCCCAGCTCGGCCACGCGCAGATCGGTGGCAGCCGCCAAGCGGCGCAGGCAGCGCAGCACCTGCAGGGCCAGCTCCCGGGAGGGCACCAGCACCAGCGCCCGCACGGCCTGGGGCAGAGCCTGGGGAGCCTGGGCACGGGGACACGGGGAGACCAGAGTGAGGGACAGGGAGAGAAAGCGTGAGACAGTGAGAGACAGGGAGGGACAGGGAGAGACAGTGAGAGACAGTGAGAGACAGTGAGAGACAGTGAGGGACAGGGAGGGACAGGGAGAGACAGTGAGGGACAGTGAGAGACAGTGAGAGACAGTGAGGGACAGGGAGGGACAGGGAGAGACAGTGAGAGACAGTGAGGGACAGTGAGGGACAGTGAGGGACAGGGAGGGACAGGGAGAGACAGTGAGAGACAGTGAGAGACAGTGAGAGACAGTGAGAGACAGTGAGGGACAGGGAGGGACAGGGAGAGACAGTGAGAGACAGTGAGGGACAGTGAGGGACAGTGAGGGACAGGGAGGGACAGGGAGAGACAGTGAGAGACAGTGAGGGACAGGGAGAGACAGTGAGAGACAGTGAGGGACAGGGAGAGACAGTGAGGGACAGGGAGAGACAGTGAGGGACAGTGAGAGACAGTGAGAGACAGTGAGAGACAGTGAGGGACAGGGAGAGACAGGGAGGGACAGGGAGAGACAGTGAGGGACAGGGAGAGACAGGGAGAGACAGTGAGAGACAGTGAGGGACAGTGAGAGACAGTGAGGGACAGGGAGAGACAGTGAGGGACAGGGAGAGACAGTGAGGGACAGTGAGAGACAGGGAGAGACAGGGAGAGACAGTGAGGGACAGGGAGAGACAGGGAGGGACAGTGAGGGACAGTGAGGGACAGTGAGGGACAGTGAGAGACAGTGAGGGACAGGGAGAGACAGTGAGGGACAGTGAGAGACAGGGAGAGACAGGGAGAGACAGTGAGAGACAGTGAGGGACAGTGAGAGACAGTGAGAGACAGTGAGGGACAGGGAGAGACAGTGAGAGACAGTGAGGGACAGTGAGGGACAGGGAGAGACAGTGAGGGACAGTGAGAGACAGGGAGAGACAGGGAGAGACAGGGAGGGACAGTGAGGGACAGTGAGAGACAGGGAGAGACAGTGAGAGACAGTGAGAGACAGTGAGGGACAGTGAGGGACAGGGAGAGACAGTGAGAGACAGGGAGAGACAGTGAGAGACAGTGAGAGACAGTGAGAGACAGTGAGAGACAGTGAGGGACAGTGAGGGACAGTGAGGGACAGTGAGAGACAGTGAGGGACAGTGAGAGACAGTGAGGGACAGTGAGAGACAGGGAGAGACAGTGAGAGACAGTGAGAGACAGTGAGGGACAGTGAGGGACAGGGAGAGACAGTGAGAGACAGGGAGAGACAGTGAGAGACAGTGAGGGACAGGGAGGGACAGGGAGAGACAGTGAGAGACAGTGAGAGACAGTGAGGGACAGGGAGGGACAGGGAGAGACAGGGAGAGACAGTGAGGGACAGTGAGAGACAGTGAGGGACAGGGAGGGACAGGGAGAGACAGTGAGAGACAGTGAGAGACAGTGAGAGACAGTGAGAGACAGTGAGGGACAGTGAGGGACAGTGAGGGACAGGGAGGGACAGGGAGAGACAGCGAGGGACAGGGAGAGACAGGGAGAGACAGGGAGAGACAGTGAGGGACAGGGAGGGACAGGGAGAGACAGTGAGAGACAGTGAGGGACAGTGAGGGACAGTGAGGGACAGGGAGGGACAGGGAGAGACAGTGAGAGACAGTGAGAGACAGTGAGAGACAGTGAGAGACAGTGAGGGACAGGGAGGGACAGGGAGAGACAGTGAGAGACAGTGAGGGACAGTGAGGGACAGTGAGGGACAGGGAGGGACAGGGAGAGACAGTGAGAGACAGTGAGAGACAGTGAGAGACAGTGAGAGACAGTGAGGGACAGGGAGAGACAGGGAGGGACAGGGAGAGACAGTGAGGGACAGGGAGAGACAGGGAGAGACAGTGAGAGACAGTGAGGGACAGTGAGAGACAGTGAGGGACAGGGAGAGACAGTGAGGGACAGGGAGAGACAGTGAGGGACAGGGAGAGACAGTGAGGGACAGTGAGAGACAGGGAGAGACAGTGAGAGACAGTGAGGGACAGGGAGAGACAGTGAGGGACAGGGAGAGACAGTGAGGGACAGTGAGAGACAGGGAGAGACAGTGAGGGACAGTGAGGGACAGGGAGAGACAGTGAGAGACAGTGAGGGACAGTGAGGGACAGTGAGAGACAGTGAGGGACAGTGAGAGACAGTGAGAGACAGGGAGAGACAGGGAGAGACAGGGAGAGACAGTGAGGGACAGTGAGGGACAGGGAGGGACAGTGAGGGACAGGGAGAGACAGTGAGGGACAGTGAGAGACAGGGAGAGACAGGGAGAGACAGTGAGGGACAGGGAGAGACAGGGAGGGACAGTGAGGGACAGTGAGGGACAGTGAGGGACAGTGAGAGACAGTGAGGGACAGTGAGAGACAGGGAGAGACAGGGAGAGACAGTGAGAGACAGTGAGGGACAGTGAGAGACAGTGAGAGACAGTGAGGGACAGGGAGAGACAGTGAGAGACAGTGAGGGACAGTGAGGGACAGGGAGAGACAGTGAGGGACAGTGAGAGACAGTGAGAGACAGTGAGAGACAGGGAGGGACAGTGAGGGACAGTGAGAGACAGTGAGGGACAGTGAGAGACAGTGAGGGACAGTGAGAGACAGTGAGAGACAGTGAGGGACAGTGAGAGACAGTGAGGGACAGTGAGGGACAGTGAGGGACAGTGAGAGACAGTGAGGGACAGTGAGAGACAGTGAGGGACAGTGAGGGACAGGGAGAGACAGTGAGAGACAGGGAGAGACAGTGAGAGACAGTGAGAGACAGTGAGAGACAGTGAGAGACAGTGAGAGACAGTGAGAGACAGTGAGGGACAGTGAGGGACAGTGAGGGACAGTGAGAGACAGTGAGAGACAGTGAGGGACAGTGAGGGACAGTGAGGGACAGGGAGAGACAGTGAGAGACAGTGAGGGACAGTGAGGGACAGTGAGGGACAGTGAGGGACAGGGAGAGACAGTGAGAGACAGTGAGGGACAGTGAGGGACAGGGAGAGACAGTGAGAGACAGGGAGAGACAGTGAGGGACAGTGAGGGACAGGGAGAGACAGTGAGAGACAGTGAGAGACAGTGAGAGACAGTGAGGGACAGTGAGGGACAGGGAGAGACAGTGAGGGACAGTGAGGGACAGTGAGAGACAGTGAGAGACAGTGAGAGACAGTGAGGGACAGTGAGGGACAGGGAGAGACAGTGAGGGACAGTGAGGGACAGGGAGAGACAGTGAGAGACAGTGAGGGACAGTGAGAGACAGTGAGGGACAGTGAGGGACAGGGAGAGACAGTGAGAGACAGTGAGGGACAGTGAGGGACAGGGAGAGACAGTGAGAGACAGTGAGGGACAGTGAGAGACAGTGAGAGACAGTGAGAGACAGTGAGGGACAGGGAGAGACAGTGAGAGACAGTGAGGGACAGTGAGGGACAGGGAGAGACAGTGAGGGACAGTGAGGGACAGTGAGGGACAGGGAGAGACAGTGAGAGACAGTGAGGGACAGTGAGAGACAGGAGAGACAGTGAGAGACAGTGAGGGACAGGGAGAGACAGTGAGAGACAGTGAGGGACAGGGAGAGACAGTGAGAGACAGTGAGAGACAGTGAGGGACAGTGAGGGACAGGGAGAGACAGTGAGGGACAGTGAGAGACAGGGAGAGACAGTGAGGGACAGGGAGAGACAGTGAGGGACAGTGAGGGACAGGGAGAGACAGTGAGAGACAGTGAGGGACAGGGAGAGACAGTGAGGGACAGGGAGAGACAGTGAGGGACAGTGAGAGACAGTGAGGGACAGTGAGAGACAGTGAGGGACAGGGAGAGACAGTGAGGGACAGTGAGAGACAGTGAGGGACAGTGAGAGACAGTGAGGGACAGGGAGAGACAGTGAGGGACAGGGAGAGACAGTGAGAGACAGTGAGGGACAGTGAGGGACAGTGAGAGACAGTGAGGGACAGGGAGAGACAGTGAGGGACAGTGAGAGACAGTGAGAGACAGTGAGGGACAGGGAGAGACAGGGAGAGACAGTGAGGGACAGTGAGGGACAGTGAGAGACAGTGAGGGACAGGGAGAGACAGTGAGGGACAGTGAGAGACAGTGAGAGACAGTGAGGGACAGGGAGAGACAGTGAGGGACAGGGAGAGACAGTGAGGGACAGGGAGAGACAGTGAGGGACAGTGAGAGACAGTGAGAGACAGTGAGGGACAGGGAGAGACAGTGAGAGACAGTGAGGGACAGGGAGAGACAGTGAGAGACAGTGAGGGACAGTGAGGGACAGTGAGAGACAGTGAGGGACAGGGAGAGACAGTGAGAGACAGTGAGAGACAGTGAGGGACAGGGAGAGACAGTGAGAGACAGTGAGAGACAGGGAGAGACAGTGAGGGACAGGGAGAGACAGTGAGAGACAGGGAGAGACAGTGAGGGACAGTGAGAGACAGTGAGAGACAGTGAGGGACAGTGAGAGACAGTGAGGGACAGTGAGAGACAGTGAGGGACAGTGAGGGACAGGGAGAGACAGGGAGAGACAGTGAGAGACAGAGAGAGACAGTGAGAGACAGGGAGAGACAGTGAGGGACAGTGAGGGACAGTGAGGGACAGGGAGAGACAGTGAGGGACAGGGAGAGACAGTGAGGGACAGTGAGGGACAGTGAGAGACAGTGAGGGACAGTGAGGGACAGTGAGGGACAGGGAGAGACAGTGAGGGACAGTGAGGGACAGGGAGAGACAGTGAGAGACAGTGAGGGACAGGGAGAGACAGTGAGGGACAGGGAGAGACAGTGAGAGACAGTGAGGGACAGTGAGGGACAGTGAGAGAGAGTGAGGGACAGGGAGAGACAGTGAGGGACAGTGAGAGACAGTGAGAGACAGTGAGGGACAGGGAGAGACAGTGAGGGACAGGGAGAGACAGTGAGAGACAGTGAGGGACAGTGAGGGACAGTGAGAGACAGTGAGGGACAGGGAGAGACAGTGAGGGACAGGGAGAGACAGTGAGAGACAGTGAGGGACAGTGAGGGACAGTGAGAGACAGTGAGGGACAGGGAGAGACAGTGAGAGACAGTGAGAGACAGGGAGAGACAGTGAGGGACAGGGAGAGACAGTGAGGGACAGGGAGAGACAGTGAGAGACAGTGAGGGACAGTGAGAGACAGTGAGGGACAGTGAGAGACAGTGAGGGACAGTGAGGGACAGGGAGAGACAGGGAGAGACAGTGAGAGACAGAGAGAGACAGTGAGAGACAGGGAGAGACAGTGAGGGACAGTGAGGGACAGTGAGGGACAGGGAGAGACAGTGAGGGACAGTGAGGGACAGGGAGAGACAGTGAGGGACAGTGAGAGACAGGGAGAGACAGGGAGAGACAGTGAGGGACAGGGAGAGACAGGGAGGGACAGTGAGGGACAGTGAGGGACAGTGAGGGACAGGGAGAGACAGTGAGAGACAGTGAGGGACAGTGAGGGACAGTGAGGGACAGTGAGGGACAGGGAGAGACAGTGAGAGACAGTGAGAGACAGTGAGGGACAGTGAGGGACAGGGAGAGACAGTGAGAGACAGTGAGGGACAGTGAGGGACAGGGAGAGACAGTGAGGGACAGTGAGGGACAGTGAGGGACAGTGAGGGACAGGGAGAGACAGTGAGAGACAGTGAGGGACAGTGAGAGACAGTGAGAGACAGTGAGAGACAGTGAGGGACAGTGAGGGACAGTGAGGGACAGGGAGAGACAGTGAGGGACAGTGAGAGACAGGGAGAGACAGTGAGGGACAGTGAGGGACAGTGAGGGACAGGGAGAGACAGTGAGGGACAGTGAGGGACAGTGAGGGACAGTGAGGGACAGGGAGAGACAGTGAGGGACAGTGAGGGACAGTGAGGGACAGTGAGAGACAGTGAGGGACAGTGAGGGACAGGGAGAGACAGGGAGAGACAGTGAGAGACAGGGAGAGACAGTGAGAGACAGGGAGAGACAGTGAGGGACAGTGAGGGACAGTGAGGGACAGGGAGAGACAGTGAGGGACAGTGAGGGACAGTGAGAGACAGTGAGGGACAGCGAGGGACAGTGAGGGACAGTGAGGGACAGGGAGAGACAGTGAGGGACAGTGAGGGACAGTGAGAGACAGTGAGGGACAGTGAGAGACAGTGAGGGACAGGGAGAGACAGGGAGAGACAGTGAGAGACAGTGAGAGACAGGGAGAGACAGGGAGAGACAGTGAGGGACAGTGAGAGACAGTGAGGGACAGGGAGAGACAGTGAGGGACAGTGAGGGACAGTGAGAGACAGTGAGAGACAGGGAGAGACAGTGAGGGACAGTGAGAGACAGTGAGAGACAGTGAGGGACAGGGAGAGACAGTGAGGGACAGTGAGAGACAGTGAGAGACAGTGAGAGACAGTGAGGGACAGTGAGAGACAGTGAGAGACAGTGAGAGACAGTGAGGGACAGGGAGAGACAGGGAGAGACAGTGAGAGACAGTGAGAGACAGTGAGAGACAGGGAGAGACAGTGAGGGACAGGGAGAGACAGTGAGGGACAGTGAGGGACAGTGAGGGACAGTGAGAGACAGTGAGGGACAGTGAGAGACAGTGAGGGACAGTGAGAGACAGTGAGGGACAGGGAGAGACAGGGAGAGACAGGGAGAGACAGTGAGGGACAGTGAGGGACAGGGAGGGACAGGGAGGGACAGGGAGGGACAGGGAGAGACAGTGAGGGACAGGGAGAGACAGGGAGAGACAGGGAGAGACAGTGAGAGACAGTGAGGGACAGTGAGGGACAGGGAGGGACAGGGAGGGACAGGGAGAGACAGTGAGGGACAGTGAGAGACAGGGAGAGACAGGGAGAGACAGTGAGGGACAGGGAGAGACAGGGAGGGACAGTGAGGGACAGTGAGAGACAGTGAGAGACAGTGAGGGACAGTGAGAGACAGGGAGAGACAGGGAGAGACAGTGAGGGACAGTGAGGGACAGGGAGAGACAGTGAGAGACAGTGAGGGACAGTGAGGGACAGGGAGAGACAGTGAGGGACAGGGAGAGACAGTGAGGGACAGGGAGAGACAGGGAGGGACAGTGAGGGACAGGGAGAGACAGTGAGGGACAGTGAGAGACAGGGAGAGACAGGGAGAGACAGTGAGGGACAGGGAGAGACAGGGAGGGACAGTGAGGGACAGTGAGAGACAGTGAGGGACAGTGAGAGACAGTGAGGGACAGTGAGAGACAGTGAGAGACAGTGAGGGACAGTGAGGGACAGTGAGGGACAGTGAGAGACAGTGAGGGACAGTGAGGGACAGTGAGAGACAGTGAGGGACAGTGAGAGACAGTGAGGGACAGTGAGGGACAGTGAGGGACAGTGAGAGACAGTGAGAGACAGTGAGGGACAGTGAGAGACAGTGAGGGACAGTGAGGGACAGTGAGGGACAGGGAGAGACAGTGAGAGACAGGGAGAGACAGTGAGGGACAGTGAGAGACAGTGAGGGACAGGGAGAGACAGGGAGAGACAGTGAGGGACAGTGAGAGACAGTAAGGGACAGTGAGGGACAGGGAGAGACAGTGAGGGACAGTGAGGGACAGGGAGAGACAGTGAGGGACAGTGAGAGACAGTAAGGGACAGTGAGGGACAGGGAGAGACAGTGAGGGACAGTGAGGGACAGTGAGGGACAGTGAGAGACAGTGAGAGACAGTGAGGGACAGTGAGAGACAGTGAGGGACAGTGAGGGACAGTGAGGGACAGGGAGAGACAGTGAGAGACAGGGAGAGACAGTGAGGGACAGTGAGAGACAGTGAGGGACAGGGAGAGACAGGGAGAGACAGTGAGGGACAGTGAGAGACAGTGAGAGACAGTGAGGGACAGTGAGGGACAGGGAGAGACAGTGAGGGACAGGGAGAGACAGGGAGAGACAGTGAGAGACAGGGAGAGACAGGGAGGGACAGTGAGAGACAGTGAGGGACAGTGAGAGACAGTGAGGGACAGGGAGAGACAGGGAGAGACAGGGAGAGACAGTGAGAGACAGTGAGGGACAGTGAGAGACAGGGAGAGACAGGGAGAGACAGGGAGGGACAGTGAGAGACAGGGAGAGACAGGGAGAGACAGTGAGGGACAGTGAGGGACAGGGAGAGACAGTGAGAGACAGTGAGGGACAGTGAGGGACAGGGAGAGACAGTGAGGGACAGTGAGAGACAGGGAGAGACAGTGAGAGACAGTGAGGGACAAGGAGACACAATGTGATACAGTGTGAAACAGTGCAACACAGTGGGAAACAGTGTGATACAGTGCGACACAGTGGGACACGGGGGGGGGGACAGTGAGACACAGTGGGACACAGTGGGACACAGTGAGACACAGAGTGAGACACAGTGGGATACAGTGCGATACAGTGTGACACAGTGCAACAGTGCGATACAGTGAGACAGTGCGACACAGTGCGATACAGTGCGACAGTGCGATACAGTGCGACACAGTGCAACAGTGCGACACAGTGCGATACAGTGCGACACAGTGCAACAGTGCGACACAGTGCGACACAGTGCAACAGTGCGACACAGTGCGATACAGTGCGACACAGTGCAACAGTGCGACACAGTGCGACACAGTGCAACAGTGCGACACAGTGCGATACAGTGCGACACAGTGCAACAGTGCGACACAGTGCGACACAGTGCGACACAGACCAGTGAGACACAGTGGGATACAGTGAGACACAATGAGACACAGTGAGACACAGTGCGACACAGTGGGAAACAGTGGGACACAGTGAAACACAGTGTGACTCAGTGGGACACAGTGGGACATAGTGCGACACAGTGGGACACAGTGAAATACAGTGTGACTCAGTGGCACACAGTGAGACAGAGTGCAACACAGTGGGACACAGTGGGGCACAGTGCGACCCAGACACAGTGGGGCACAGTGTCACCAGACCATGGAGCCCCGTACCCCCCGTTTCCCCCCCCAGAGCCCACCCCTCCCCTGTACCCCCAGAGCCCCGGTGCCCTCCGGAGCTCTCTTGCCCGCGGCGCCCCCCCCCGCCCCGCTCCCCGCTCACCTCCCTGCCCCGCAGGAGCAGCTGCAGCACGGGCAGGCCGTAGGCTCCGGTCTTGCCGGAGCCGGTCCTGGCGCGCACCAGCAGGTCCCGGCCCTCCAGCGCCAGCGGAATGGCCTCGGCCTGGATGGACGTGGGGGAGCCCCAGCCCAGCTCCGCCACCGCCTGCGGGGCCGGCCCGGGGGTGACCGAGCTGCGCCCGCGCCCCGGGGCTCAGCCCCTGAAGGACCCCGGCACCGAACCTCCCCTGCCCCGCAGACCCTCCCGGTGCCCCGAACCCCGCTGTCCCCCCCCACTCCCCTCAGCAATGACCCCAAGGCTTCAGTGCACCCCAAGCCCTGGCTGTGACCCCCATGTACTGCCCCGAACCCCGCTTTACCCCATATCCCCCCCCAAGCCCTGGCTGTGCCCCCCATGTACTGCCCGGGCAGTGCCCCACAGCCCCTGTACCCCATATCCGCCCCCAGGCCCTGGTTGTTACCCCCCATGTACTGCCCCGCACCCCGCTGTACCCCATATCCCCCCCATCGCCTCATGTCCCGCCCCCAGGCACCCCAAACGCTCTCAATGGGCTCCTCTCCCCCCAGAGCACCCCACTGCCCCATTCGCCCCCCCCCAGGACCCCCGGTGACCAACGGACCGCACGGTACCGGCCCTTTGCGGCCTCCCTCACCCCCAGGGACCCCCGAGCCCCCTCCCCACCGTGGCTCCCCCCACCCCGGTGCCGGTCCCGCTCCCTCCGCACCCGCAGGAGCCGCGGGTCCAGCCCCATGTGCTCGAACCGCGCCGCCGGCCCCTCCGCCGCCGCCATGCTGGGCTCCCGCTCACCACGGACACCGTGCGGCGCGCCCAGAGCGGCTCAGGCCGCCGCGCCGCCCCCTGGCGGTGGAGGACTGAGCACCCCCCCGCATATTAAAACCGCACCAATGGACCCCAAAACCGCTTTATTTCCCCCAAAAACGGCAGCGCGGACCCCCCCCCCCCCCCCCCCCCGCTGTGGGAGCCCCCCCGGGGGGTGCTGGGGGGCTCTACACCAGCTTCTTGGCCTCGAAGAAGCTCTTGAGATGCCTCATCTGCCAGATGCCGGTGAGGATGAGGATGATGGTCTGGGCGATGGACCACCACAGCACGCGCTGGTTCGTGCTCTCGCTCGTCATGCGGAAGCGCTCCTCCCGGTACTGAGCACGGGAATAAAGCGTGGGGTGGGCTCACGGGAGGGGGAAAGCGGGGTGTCCTGTACCCCGTCCCCCCCCGACCCCGCACCCCGCTCCTCACCCGCTGGTAGTTCTGCTCCTTCTGGATCTGCTCGACCTGGTCGAGGAGCTGCCGGGCGCGGAGCTGCAGCTCCGTCAGCTTGTCCTTGGCGGCGATCTCGGGGTAGTTGTTGGTGTGCTCCCCCACCTGGATGTCGAGGTGCACCCGCTGCGGGGCGCAGGGGGTCAGGGCGCGCCGGTGCCACCGGTACCCCTGCCTCGGGGTGTCCCCGGTACCCCCGCTTCGCGGTGTCCCCATGCCCGGTCCCCACTCACCAGCTTGCCGCCGGCGAACAGGGCCATGCGGGTGGAGTTGGAGTGGAGGCAGATCTGGTGCTCCCCCGGTGTGTGCGACGTGAAGGTGAAGCGGCCCTCGGAGCCGTACTGCCGCGACAGCACCACCTGCACCGCGACACCGCACCCGCTGCCGAGGCACCCGCAGGGAACCCTTGGCCTGGCTTGGAAGGGACCCCAGGGACCCCCCACCCAGCACAGTGGGCACCCCAGGGACCCCTACGCAGGCACAAAGGCACCCCAACGCAGCAGGCACCCCAACGGTGGGCACCCGAGCACCCCAAGAACCACCCACCTTCCTTTGCAAGCACCGCAGGGACCCCCTGCTCAGGCACAAAGGAACCCCAACCCAGCAGGCACCCCAACGGTGGGCACCCAAGCACCCCCCACCTTCCTTTACAAGCACCCCAAGGACCCCCTGCCCTCGTTCAAAAGCACCCCAGGGACATCCCCCCATGGGTACCCATGCACCCCAAGGGGCCCCTGCCCTGGTCGATGGGTGCTCCGTGCACCCCAAGCACAATCTGCCTTCTTCTACCAGCACCCAGGGGACCCCCTGTGCAGGACCAAAGGCACCCCGGGGACACCCCCCCCTCCCTCCACGCACCACAGGGACCCCCGCAGCCCCATGGGTGCCCCATGCACACCCCCCAGGCACTCACTTTGCCGTCGGGGTCCTTCACCTCCACGTGCATGCCCAGCCCCGGCGTGGAGGGCAGGAACGACTCGGACTGCTTGTCCCAGAGCTGCGTCCGGTAATTCCCTGCGGAGAGCGGGGCATCGGACCGGGACTGGGACCGGCGCCATCCCCCGGGGATGGGGAACCACCCCCCCCCCGGCTCCGGGCCCCCCCGCCCGCACCGATGACCATGGTCTCGTCCGGGATCTCCTCGATGAAGCAGCGCTTCTCGGTCTCTCCGATGTGGAAGTACAGCCCCTGCCCGCCCGCCGCCAGCAGCACAGCCACCACCGCGGCCCGCAGCGCCCCGCCGCCCGCCATGGCCCGCGCCGCTCGCACTGCGCATGCGCAGGACCCTCCCCATTGACACATCCGCGTTCCGGTGGCGCAGCGAGGAGGGCGCTGCTCCTCCAGCGATGAGGTTGAGGGTTCGAGACCCCCGTGCGCCGGCTCCGACGGGAGCGGTGACCCCCGGTTGTGTCCGTCGCCCCCCGTGTGCCCCGTCCCCGCTGTGTGTTTGTCCCGCGTCCCCCCCCCCCGTTCCGAGCCGTGCCGAGCCCGCAGCGGGGCGGAACCAGCGCTTCCCCCTCCGCCAGCGGTGAGGCAACAGCTCCGCCGCCTCCTCCTTCCTTCCGCGCCCCATGGGTGAGCGCGGACCCCCGGGAGCGGGAGGCGGCGGCGGCGGGGCCCTGGCGCGCAAACCCGCGCTCGCCCTCGCCCTCCTCCTCCTCCTCCTCCTCCTCTGTCTCCGCGCAGAGCCCGAAGCCGCCGCGCCCGCCCCGCGGCCCCGCGCAGTGCTCCGGTACCGGTGAGTGGCGCTGCGGGCGCGGGGCCGCGCGGGGCGGAGCGGGGGGGGGCAGCGGTGTCCGCGCTGTCCCCGCAGGATGCGCGACGTGGACCACAAGAGCCTTTACCTGCGCGACGGGCGGCTCGTGGCCGGGCACCTGCAGGGCGCCAACGCGGCGCGGGAAGGTGAGGGGGGGCCCTGCGGATTGGGGGGCGCGGACACCGATGGGGACCCCCCCTCGGGGCGCGCCCTGACGCGGGGGGGGGGCCCCAGAGGAGGTGTTTTGGGTGCCCAACCGCGCCTTCGCGCCCGCCCGGCTGCCCCTCGTCATGGGCATCCAGAACGGGTCCCGGTGCCTCGCCAGCGCCCCCGGGCCCCGGCCCAGCCTGAGCCTGCAGGTCAGCCACCGCCAGCGGGGGGGCACCAACGGGGTGGGGAATCAATGGGGGCAGCACCGGGGGTATCGATGGGGACACCGTGGGGGCACCAATGGGATGGGGGCATCCATGGGGATGGGGGCATCATTAATACCAGGGGGATGGGGACATCAGTGGGGACATCATTGGGGATGGGGATATCGATGGGGACACCATGGGGGCACCAATGGGATGGGGGCATCCATGGGGATGGGGGCATCATTAATACCAGGGGGATGGGGACATCAGTGGGGACATCATTGGGGATGGGGATATCGATGGGGACACCATGGGGGCACCAATGGGATGGGGGCATCCATGGGGATGGGGGGCATCATGGGGATACCAAGGGGATGGGAACATCAATGGGGACACCACTGGGGATGGGGATATCGATGGGGACACCAATGGGATTGGGGCATCCATGGGGATGGGGGCATCATGGGGATACCACAGGAATGGGGACATCAGTGGGGACATCTTTTGGGATGGGGATATCGATGGGGACACCATGGGGGCACCAATGGGATGGGGGCATCCATGGGGATGGGCAGCATCATGGGGATACCAAGGGGATGGGGACTTCAGTGGGGACATCATTGGGGATGGGGATATCGATGGGGACACCATGGGGGCACCAACGGGATGGGGGCATCCATGGGGATGGGGATATCTTGGGGATACCACGGGGATGGGGACATCAGTGGGGATGGGGACACCGATGGGATGGGGACATCAATTAGGACATCATTGGGGATGGGGATATGGTGGGGACACCAAGGGGTGGGGGCATCCATGGGGATGGGGACATCTTGGGGATAACACGGGGATGGGGACACCAATGGGATAGGGGCATCAATGGGGACACCACTGAGATGGAGACACCAGCAGGGATGAGGATATCAATGGGGACACCAGTGAGCATGGGGACACCACGGGGACGGGGACATCAGTGGGGACACCAAAGGGATGGGGACACCGAGGGCGATGGAGATGGGGACACCAATGGGATGGGTACACCAGTGGGCATGGAGACACCACAGGGACGGGGACATCAATGGGGACACCAAAGGGATGGGGATATCAATGGGGATAGGGACACAAAGAGATGGTAACACCATGGGGACACCGCTGGAGCACGGGGACGTCATTGGGCATGGGGACATCGATGGCGACGTCATTGAGGATGGGGATATCGATGGGGACCCCATGGAGGCACCAATGGGATGGGGGCGTCCATGGGGATGAGGACACCAGTGGGAATGGGGACATCATGGGGACCCCTTGGGGAAGGGACACCACGGGGCCCCCAAAGGGAGGAGGACACAGTGGGGAGGGGGACAACAGGGGGAAGAGGATACCAAAGAGATGGGGGCACCACGGGGACACTGTGGGGATGGGGACATCGATGGGTACAGCAAAGAAATGGGGACTTGAAAGGGATGGGGACGCCCTGGGGAGGGGACACCACGGGGCTGGGGCGACCGCAGCCCCCGCTCTCGCGGTCCCCCTTTCCCCGTTGCCGCTGCCCGGTCCCATCCCGGTCCCACCCCGGTCCCATCCCGGTCCCATCCCGGTCCCGTCCCGGTCCCACCCCGGTCCCATCCCGGTCCCGTCCCGGTCCCACCCCGGTCCCATCCCGGTCCCATCCCGGTCCCACCCCGGTCCCACCCCGGTCCCATCCCGGTCCCACCCCGGTTCCATCCCGGTCCCATCCCGGTCCCACCCCGGTCCCGTCCCGGTCCCATCCCGGTCCCATCCCGGTCCCATCCCGGTCCCACCCCGGTCCCATCCCGGTCCCATCCCGGTCCCACCCCGGTCCCACCCGGTCCCATCCCGGTCCCATCCCGGTCCCACCCCGGTCCCATCCCGGTCCCATCCCGGTCCCACCCCGGTTCCATCCCGGTCCCGTGCCGGTGCCGCCGCAGGACGCCGACATTCGGGAGCTGCCCCGCGCCGGGGCGGCCTCGGCCGCCTTCACCTTCTTCCGCTCGTACCGGGCCGGGCTCTGGCGCTTCGAGTCGGCCGCGAACCCCGGCTGGTTCCTGTGCACCTCGGCGCGGGGCCACCAGCCCCTGGGGCTCTCCCGGTGCCACGATGCCAGCACCCGCCTCGACTTCTACTTCAGCGCCGCCGAGTGCCCGGAGCCCGGCACCGGGGACCGGGACCCCCCCGTTGGGGACCGGGACCTCCCCCCCGCTGACCCCCGGTGACGCCCGGGGCCAATAAAGCTGCCGAGGGCACCGGTCCCGTGTCGGGGGCTCCGCGTCCCGGGCTCGGGCGGCTCCTTCCCGGAGCGGGGGACGCTGGAGACGCTCCAGCCCCGGCGTGTCCCGACCGGCACCGGGAGACGGGAACGGGGATCACGGGGATGGGGTGGGGACGGCGGAGGGACGTGGGAACAGGGGGACAGGGAGACGGGGGTGTGGGGACAGGGGGGAGACACGGGGACATTGCAGGGACGGGGCGTGGGGACAGGGGACACAGGGGTGTCTGGAGGCAGCTCTATGGGGACACGGGGATATAGGGGGGCACGGGAACATGCGGGCATCGCAGGGACAGGGGGATGGGGCGCACGGGGACACGGTGCCCCCGGCCCGGTGGCAGTGGAGGGGACACAGGAGAGCCGAGGGGACCCCGGGACACGGCGGGACACGGGCACCGGATGAGGTTTCACCATCCCCGGCCCTGCCCAAAGCGGTACCGCCCAAGGCCAGGGCCGGGCTCTGCTCCCCCGCTCTATAAGAGCCGGAGCCACATCCCGGGACACGCTCGGGAACGCGGGGAATCATCGGGAACCGCCCGATCGGGAACGAGCCGGGTCCTGCCCGGCAGCGGCTGCAGCGCGTTCACTCTGGAGCCGACTGAGAGCAGCGGCCGGTGAGGGGGGACGGGACGGGGACGGGATGGGGATGGGATGGGGACGGGATGGGGAGGGGATGGGGAGGGGATGGGGACGGGATGGGGACGGGATGGGGACGGGATGGGGAGGGGATGGGGACGGGATGGGGACGGGATGGGGACGGGATGGGGACGGGATGGGGACGGGATGGGGACGGGATGGGGACGGGATGGGGATGGGATGGGGATGGGATGGGGAGGGGATGCACTTGGGATGGGGATGGGATGGGGATGGGATGGATTTGGGATGGGGATGGGATGGGATGGGGACGGGATGTGGATGGCACGGGGACGGGCTGGTCCCATCCCTCCCCCGGGATGTGGCACCCGCGGGCGCCCGCCCTCACCCCAACCTGTCCCTGTCCTCCCCGGGCAGCAGCGGGGCCGAGGGGCCCCGGGGACCCCAGGAGGGGTCCTGGCCCCTGCAGCACCCGATGGGGGTCTCGGCGGAGCCGGGCGCGGGCCCCGGAGCCGCGCCGGAGTCTGTCATCGACCCCGACATGGAGGCCTTGTTCGATGAGTTCCTGGGGAAAGGTAGCGCCGGGGGCGCAGGGACACGGACCCACGGTGCCCGTCGCCGTGTCCCTGCGTCCCCGTGTTCCATGCGATGTCCCCTTATCCCTGTGTGTCCCCTTCCCGTGCCCCCACGTCCCACATCCCCCAGTATCCATCACACCTGTGTCTCACATCCCCATTCCCGTGTCCCTGTGACACCCCCGTCCCCACATCCCTGTGACACCCCCATGTCCCCGTGCGCCCGTGACACCCCCATGTCCCCCCGTCCCTCACACCCGTGCCCCCCCTCCCCACGTTCCAGTGATGCCCTCCTGCACCCACGATGTCCCCTGCCCCCCCCATGCCCCTGACACCCCCCCGTGCCCCCCCCCGCTCCCCGCAGAGCTCTCGCCGGAGCTGACGGGGCCCTCGGCGGCACCGCCGCTGCCCCGGGGCCGGCCCCACCACTTCGTGCTGCGGGACACGGAGCAGCGCGGGCTCTGCCTGCGCGGGGGGCGCCTGGTGCCCACCCCCCTGCAGGGAGCCAGCGCCGACCAGGAAGGTGCGTGCCGGGGGTGGGGGTGTGGGGGGGGCCGTGCCCGCTGCCCCCCCGGCCCACGCGGCCCCTCCGTGTCCCGCAGAGATCTTCAGTGCGGTGCCCAACCCGCACCTGGAGCGCCGGCGCTGCCCCCTCATCGTGGGCATCCGGGGGGGCAGCCAGGCCCTGTCCTGCACCCCCGGCCCCGAGCCCCGCCTGCAGCTCGTGGTGAGGGGGGGGCGCAGCCGGGGGGGGGCACCTTGCTATGGGTCAGCCCAAGAGGGGAATCCCAAGGTTGAGGCACCCATAGGGGGAGCACCCGCATGTGAAGGCGCCCATATGGGGAGCATCCCAAGGTGGGGGCACCCATAGGTGGAGCACCCCAAGTTTGAGGCACCCATAGGTGGAGCACTCATAAGTGAGGACACCCATAGGGGGCGCACCCCAAGGTGAGGGCACCCATAGGTGGAGCACCCTAAGGTGAGGGCACCCACAGAGGGAGCACCCCAAGGTTGAGTCACCCATAGGTGGAGCACCCTAAGGTGAGGGCACCCACAGAGGGAGCACCCCAAGGTTGAGTCACCCATAGGTGGAGCACCCTAAGGTGAGGGCACCCACAGAGGGAGCACCCCAAGGTTGAGTCACCCATAGGTGGAGCACCCACTTTAAGGTGAGGGCACCCACAGGGGGGCACCCCAAGGTGAGGGCACCCCTAGGGGTCAGCAGAATCTTGCTCAAGTTGGGGGCACCCTGGGCTGGGGGGGGGGGGGGGTGGCCTAGAGCTGGGTCCTCCCTGTCCGGGGACCCCCGATCAGGCTCAGCCCAAAGCCGCCGCACCCCTGACCCCCCCCCCCCCGCACGGTGCCCCCGGAGGAGCGGTCCCGGGGGGGTCCCCGCGGCCGTGCCCCAGCGCTGCCCCCCCGCAGGACGCGGCGCTGCTGGAGCTGTTCTCGCTCCTGCACCTTCTACAAGAGCTTCGGGGGCTCCACGCACAGCTTCGAGGCGGCCGCGTGCCCCGGGGCCTTCCTCAGCACCGCGGGGGGGCAGGAGCTGGGCCTGGCCCCCCCCCACGGCGCCACCGGCTTCTACCTGCACCGCAGGTGACCCCCGGCGGGGGCAATAAAGAGATGGAACCGGCCCGGAGCGTGGGGGGGGCGGGACCAGGAGGATGGGGGCGGGGCCACGCGGGGCGGGGCCGGGAGGGGGCGGGGCCAGCTGCAGACACGCCCCGCGCCGCGCGCCGGCGGTGCCGGTAAGGGGGGGGTGAGGGAGGGATCCGGAGACCCCCGAGACCGGGGGGAGCCCCCGTGACCTCTGGGTGCCCCAAGGACCCTGGGGTCACCCCGCGCCCCCCGGGGTCACCCCCCAGGAGCCCCCCCCCAATCCCCGCGGGGGGTCCCCATTGACCTCCCCCCCCCCACACCCCGAGGCCCCTTCGCAGCCTTTGGGGTCCCCCCCCCCCTCCTTTGGGGTCCCCCCCCCTCCTTTGGGACCCCCCCTCCCTTTCCCCGTTCCCCTTCTCCCGCTGGTGGCTTCTCCGGTGCCTGCTCTGGGGTTGTGCCGCGCTGCGCCCGACGCGGAAGCGATGTGTGGGGCGCGCTGTGGGGCGCTGCCCCCAGCCGGGTTCCTGCCCCGGGGGCCCCGGCGGTTGCTTCCCCCCCCTCGGAGGTGCCCCCAGACCCCCCCCCGTGCCCCGGGCACTTCCTCCCCCTCCTTCCTCTTCCTCTTTCCTCCTCTGGTCCCTCCCCCCCCCCGTGTCCTCTTCCTCTTCCCTCTCCCCCTCTCCCTTCTTCCTCCTTCTCCCTCTTCCTCCTTCCTCCCTTCTCCTCCCCCCCGCAGCCCCCTCTCACCCCTCTCCCCCCCCACACCCAGAAGCCGCAGCGCTGGCACCGGCCATGGGGCTGCCAGGGACCCCCAACACCCCCAACACCACCAGCACCAACAGCAGCACCAACACCATCAGCACCACCAGCACCAGTGACCCCAGCACCAGCAGCCCCGGTAACCCCAGCTCCAGGGTCCTGGCTGCTCAGGACGCCATCGTCTTCTCAGGGGTGGGTGCGGAAGGGGTGACCCCCCCCAGCACAGACACCAGGCTCTCGCCCAAGCCCGTGCCCATGGATGAGAACATCTCCCACGAGCACCAAGGCCCTGGATCCACATCCGGGAGCCGCTTCCCCGTGTCCATGGGCGGGAGCATCTCAGCCGTGCCCAGGGATGAAAACATCGCCCACAAGTACCAAGCCCGCGGACCCACATCCAGGAGCATCTCCCACGTGCCCACGGATGAGGACATCTCCCCGGGTCCATGGCCGTGGGTGGGAGCGTCCCGCAGGAGCACCACGGCCACATCCCCATGGACCGGAGCATCTCCCCCGTGTCCCTGCCCTGGGATGAGACCATCCCGTGGGAGCGGGAGCCAATCGATGACCCCAGGTGGCCCAAGACGACGTGCACAGAGGAGACCAAGACATCCACGTCCATGCCCCGGGGTGGGAGCATCCCGCAGGAGCGTGTGGCCAAGGATGGGGGCATCTCCCCCGTGTCCATGCCCCAGGATGGGGGCATCTCCTCCACGTCCATGCCCGTGGGTGCCAGCTCCTCGCTCCAGCACCGGGAGCCCGATGGCAGTGATGAGGAGGATGATGCTGATGAAGGCACCGACAGCGGCTCA